GCAAGAAGTTAATCAACTTCGTGCAGCAAATCAGCGTCTAAAAAGGAAGCGAGAGGCATCAAGATACTTTATAGCAACTGGTGGTAGCTTGACAGGTGCTGAAGGACAGCAAAAAGCTCAAGAGCATGAGGAGCAACTACAGGAATCATCTAGACCACGGACTCGAAGGCCACCAAGATGCAGTAATTGCAATCAAACAGGCCATAATCGGCTTAAATGCCCTAGTAAACAGTCTCCTTCTTTATATAGTCAAATTCATTAAATTTGGTTGCAAAATGCTTCAAGATTTACGGTTGTGTTGGTGGTTGAATTTTTTTCTCGGGGACCGCGCAGCTCGGTGGTCCGCGCAGCTCGGTGGTGGATTACGTTAGGTGTCTGTCTATCTACGTAGACGCCAATTACCTATTTTTTTAAACTATAGGCTATTAACCTTTCCTGGGTTAGGTTCGCGAATTGATACTGTTTCAGATCAACGTTGTTTGTTCGTCAGTCTAATTAATTAATTTTATTGCTTGTTGATTTGTTCAGAATTCTTTATACTTAGATGGGGAAAGCTCTGTGTATGGGTATTACACGATCTGGTTAATAGTTTTCCCGCCTTCGGGTAAGCATTGATTAAACCATTATTACACTGCCAATCGATCAGCGTCCTGAACTATACCTTACCTTGCCATTTCATATGATTCTATAATAGTCTACATATCTGGTAGACTGGTTCTACTTAGTTGCAGCAGGACATGCCATCTAATAATATATTTCATTGCCTTATAATCAAGCAAGCATATAGGATGATATAGCATAACCACGTCAGCAACACCATTCTAGGTCAAAGCTTCCAGAGAGATATATTCTCTCGATCAACAGCACCCGACTGCGCCAAGTTCCACGCCAGCCAAATAGAGTTTCTCCATTGGTCGTGCACTTTGGGCTTCCGTGACCATTTAAAGTCAATAATGTAACTATTTTGGAAATAAATTTACCTCGCGTTAGCATAGGATAGGTTGGATGCCGGCTGATAAAATACCATTTCTTGGACTCCCGATCCCAGAGGATATTGTCGCAGCCTCTGTCCAAGGTAATCATCTCGCAGACGATACACTCCCTTTATGTTTGCCAAAGCAAAAACCACGTTAGAGAAAATCAAGATTCCTTATAGTTAAGATTCCTTATAGGATCAGAGTCATCAGACTAGATGGGAGAGTTCGAACATACTCGTACGCAACCTTGAAAGCGTCTCGGATTTCCTGACGCTCGGTTGCATCTCTGGCCCAAAAGTCGTTCAATCGGACTCCGGGCAGCCGATCCATCAGGATATACACAATATATCCACCAGGCACCGACATATCACGATCCTGTCTGTCTTGCTTATATTTGAGCAGTTTCGGGGCGGAGGAGCATCTCTCCCGAGTCAATTGCTCGAGGGCCTTCAGCTCCATTTTTGTCAGCCCTATAGGCTCTTCGGTAGCCTGAGATGCTCTTGATTCGGGGGAGTTGAACTCGGAGCCATGATATGGGATCCTGTCCGGGAATTATCTTTCTGCACAGGGGGCTCTTTCTTTCTTGCCCCCCTTTCCCCTCCTCGTTTTGCTTGGAATATGGTCCATAGGAATGGGCTTATTGCATTCTGATCTTAAGCACGGCACTTTCCCTGCTGTCAAGAACGTTCAAACACTCATAGGTCGCCCACGCTTCAGAGCGCGTAGGACGCTGACCTTCTCTTGCTGCATCGCATTGCGAGAACTTCTCACTCAGTTTTGAGACCAGCTTCCACGAGTCCCTCTGGTTTTCAGACAACAAGACAATTCTGCCGATGAAGTCAGTGCCAAAGAATGGGCCTTGTTTAGGGAGAGACATCTGTGCTTGGATGAGAGAGAGGTGAAGATGGGAAGATGCACAGTAACTAGCTTAAATGTTTGGACGGCTCCCTCTAATGATGTCAACATAATTTAGGCACCAGTCAGCATACTACTCATATGATCAGGTAGATATCTATATGTAATCTACGTATGTATGTACATGTACATAAGAGTGCTCTGTACGGAGTACTTTGTAGATTCAAAAAAAAGTAATTTACTATCACAATCACTATTACTGTTAATTAGTATTAATTATTATCAAATTAATTAGTTTAGAGCCGCATAGCTATTATTTACCTTTTAATTGATCAATTGAACTACTCTACGGAGTAGAATACATTCTTTCACTCCCCTCCATACTCCGTAAGTCGAAAGCCCATCATCCGTCATCGGCGGACTCCGTTCTGTTCGTTCTTCACCGCTCTACAGTATTCCAAATAATAGGTATCAATCATTGTTCTTATTTTCTGGACCTGGTTCAAGCAAGGTTCGGTAGGTAGTACTTGCCCCATCCTTATCTATGGATCGATCATCGATCCATTATTGTTACTCTGATGGAAAATTGGAAATCCGTACGGAGTGCCTTTTAGGTACTAGTAGTCCAGTACTAACCAATCTAGGTGGTAACTTACTTCTGTCGACTCTTTTCATGAGTCGATTGGTTGATTGATATTGATTGATTGAATATCGTCAACCTTGGGTAATATTAACAGGTGGTACGTATTGGTATTCTAGAAGTGGATCAGTCCGTCAAGTCGGTTGGCTGGAAAAAATTTTTTTTTGCTTTGCTTTGCTTTGCTTGCTTTTGTTTCAACCTTTTTTGTTGTGAGCTGTACAATTGAGTTTGCTGTTTGCTGACAAGAATATTTGTCAGCCGCAGGCGGAATTTCTTCCGGCCGGAATTATTAATAATAATACGGAGTCCGGAGTACTTGGCTTGGTTAAGTCGGTCTCCACAACGGTCAGCTTGGAAGGCTGGAAGCCTAGAACTGTCTGAGCACGCTGCTTGTTGTCCACAGTCTGTGCCATCTCCACTACCCGATACTCCGCACTGCTAGTCGGCCGTTCACTAGGTACGGAGTAGGTATGGAGTATACAGTACTAGCGATAAGCAGCAGTTTTTTTTTTAGCTAGCTTGTTGGTCGGTCGTCTGACAGGACGCGGGAGAAGAAGAATTCATTCATATGAATCAAGAAATGAAGTTTCTTAGAATAGAAACAGAAATAGAAATATTTAGGTCGGTAGTGTCCTGCACGGCGACGATCATCACTCCTGTCTCGACTCTCGTGTCTCCGAAACGAAACGCCGTGGAGTACTCCGTAGTTCTACTCCGTACGTACGGAGTACTCCGTCGTGCATTTTTATTTATCGGGCCCGATTCCTCCGTACTCCGTAGTCCGTATCCGTCGGTATCACGGAATCAGTGCCACTGACTTTGTCCTGATGGAGTATGGTTTACATGTTTGCTAGTTTAGTAGGACAGCTGTTGCCGGCCTAAAACTCTAGGCATCATTTATTTCACCGGTCGTCTTTTTCCATTTATATCCAAATGAAATAAATGGATAGATAGATAGATTAGCTGCACACTAAGACACTGACTAGGTAGATGGTAATTTTACCTAGATAGATAGCCTACTCTAATAGGTAGATATTGTAGTAAATTCCAATTCTGATTATTACAGGGTATTACAACTGGTTGGCTTATTGTCACCTCATTATTTTTCCTCTTCGGCTTCGTGATGATCACTGCCGCCTGTGGTCCGTGCCCGTGTCTGTGCCCGTCCGCTCGCTCCTCTCCGCTCTCCGCTTCGGAATGTATCCCGTCTCGGATTGTGTCCCGTCGTTGTTCTTCCCGACGCGTACAGAGTACATCTCTGAATGTATGGACATAATGTACATACATACAGCTTATATGTGACGTTTATTCTCTGAATACTTTACTTTGTCAGATCAGGTATCGACTTTGAACTAGATGTTCACCTCTTTTTTTTTCTTCTTTCCAGTGGGTCAGTCGAGTCGAGTACTAACTACTATACAGAGTACAGTTTGTACCGGTTGTACTCCACTCTGTACATGTGCTGTATGATGTATCTAGGTACATATCTATGTGACTATTAATAGTCTATAGCAGTTCGTTAACTGCATGTTCCCTGCCTAAGGTTCAAAAAGCGTTGTCAGAACTCAAATCCACAGCGAGCGAAGTAAGTAAGGATTTACATATGACTGAACATTCAACTTGGACTGGTGACTGTGTGAACTATGACGATGAACTACGAACCTTACTCCGGTATGTATGTATGTATGTATGTACCTTCCTAGGTAGGTAGGTAAATAGGAAATTTTTAAAAAAATACTGACTATCAACTTACTTGATTCATTGATTGATTGATTGAATTATGTGAATTAGGTAGGTAATAATAATAATAACAATAATGATGCTTTATCTAATGAATAACAATAATAGTCATAATCATAATAATGATGATGATCTACCTACGTGAAAACCTACATACTTGAGTAGTGTTGCATACAACACATACATCGACATATGACTGACGATCATGCAGCGTACGTATGTGTATCGACTACAGATACTACTAAATAAAGAAAGAACTCTGTCGAGATAATATCGCCTAATTAATTAAAAGAATTAATTGCTCAGTAAGCCCCTCTCTCTCTGTCTCTCACTTTTGTCTCTCTTCAGTCTCTCTGATGATAAATAGCTGTTATCATTATTTGCTAAGTTAGATACTCACTCATTCATTCATTTATTGCCCTGCGGGCTGTGGGGTAAACTACCTGCCTACCTACCTACCTACCTAACGTCACTTAATTTTTTTTTCGATGAGATTAGTAAAGAAGTACATGTGTATATACGTACGGAGTAAAAACGAGAGGGGGCGAACGTTCAAACTTCTTTTACCCCTGTCAGGAAATCTTTATTTTTTTATCAATAAGAATAACATGTTACCTACGTAGGTATACTGGTAAGAGTATGTAAACAATTTAGTTTTCTCAGTCAGTCAGTCTCCTACTTTAGTTAGCATCACTAAATAACAAGCATCTTGTCTACTATCGCCAAACACAAAAGTGACGACAACCCACACCTTCATGCGTATAAACCGCCAGAGCAGGTAGATTATGTATGTAATTAGGTCATAGATAGATGTTAGAGTCCTGTTTATATCCTTTATAGGTAAATTTGTACAAATGTGTTGCAAGTGGATCTAACCAACAATCTAGAAAGAGAAATGAATGAGTCAGTGAATGAGCGATTATCTTTTTCGTCTATGTAACCTCCACGAGGTAGCTACATGAGACGTACATATGAATGTACATATGTGCGTATATACCTCATACATAGGTGTTAGCCTGCTATTTGCTGGATCTGGGGCTGAGACTGGGGCTGGGGCCAGATTCGGGTAGTAAGCGAGCATGCAAGCGAGCAAGCGAGCAAACAAAGCACCAACGCCAAGCACGTAGGCTGTTTCAGCAAAGCGACTATCGATAACATACTTTTACGGGTGAAAGAAAATCTGGGGCTAGAAAAAAGAAAGAAAGAGACTAGAAGCTCACCCTGGCCCCTAGTATAATTTTTGGGTCATTGCATACCTGTACTGTACCTACTAATGTAGGTCATCCATGATCGTCGTCATTGCCTCAGATGGGTAGGACAACATCCAACATCCATGTACGGTGCCTAATGTTGGATCTACTTACAGGTTTTTTTTTCTCTCTACATACTAGTAGATCCTCTTGATTACTCGCAGGATGCTTAGGGGGAAGAGAAATCGGAAACCAGAAATCTTGTCTCGTCGATGTTCCCCTAATACAACGTAATCACGCCTAGCTGTAGACTGCTGAGAATCAACTTGTAATGCCAGTCCTGAAACAGCTTGAATAAGTCCTATATATCTAATGTATCCAGGCCGTTAGCGAGTTCTGCTGCTGTTAACGGGGATTTATTCTTTTTCTTTTCTACTGACTATAGCTTTGCTCTCAGTAATTGCTAGAGTAAAAAAAAATGCAGATCAGCTCAGACTAGAAGCTGACTGCAAGGGACTTATTTGAGTCGGTCAAGGTTGTGTATGGCTGTTAAATATGAAATTTTGTACTTTCATTATATGTTTTCATCATCCAACAGGATGTCTTGGAGCATTTGAATGCAAGGCTCTATTCAGACAAGAACATGACTTGTTGGGCCATTATAGCAAGCGACCTCAATGAGTCTCAGCAGGGATTCACCAAAATAATCCTCATAACCTGGCTGGTATCTGCTTCAACTGCGAGCATAGAGCAATGATTGGAATCGCAGAGCTTCTGCGCCGAAGAGGCTCTTCCAGAGCGAGCTCGAGGCCATCTGTAATGAAAGATTGCCCTGAAGGAAATGTAATAGCAGCTATATAAACAAGAGAGATAAGTTTTTTTCTGCCTCAGGCAGAAACTTTTATCGATTAGCAGCAATGGCATCCCGCGCTAGGCCTGTTTGGGCGACTCTGATATTCCCCGCGCCTCGTCCATGATCTTTGCCTCCAACAATATCAATGATTGTTGTCTCTAACCTTTGTCGTTCAAATATTATCCATATACTATCTATTCTTGCGCATTCCTGGCCATCTATATGATAAAGAGCTCTTATCGTTAATCTGATACAGCTTCGACGTCATTCCATTTTCCACCTACCCCACACTTGACAGAATCCTTCAGCAGCGACATTCTGTCCAGCATCTGGATACGGTCTTTATTCCCATGACAAATCGCGCAATATGCGTCTCATAAAGAGCAGCATTGAGCGAAACGGCTCCGGTGCCGTCACGCTCTGTCCCGAGGAGCCCGAGGACATGGTTCGTCTTACACACGACAGACAGACTTTCTTAACTATATGCTGATCGCGATTCCTTCTCTTTCTTGACAGTGGCATGCCTACAATCTCATCCGACCAGGTGACCTCCTCCGCGCGAGCGCGGTCCGTAAAGTGACGACCACCCAAGACAGCGGCACCACCACCTCCACGCGCGTCCATCTCATGCTGCAGATCCGAGTGAAGAGCCTCGACTTCGACCCCCAGAGCTCTCAGCTCCACGTGAGCGGCCAGATTATGAACGAGACGCAACACACCAGAGTCGGACAGCATCATACCCTCGATCTGGAACTACATCGCAACTTTACGCTAGAAAAAGAAGTCGGCGCCGAGGGTGAGGGGCTTGGATGGGACAGCGTCGCCATCGACATGCTGAAGGATGCGGTGGATGAAGGCGGGAAGAGACGGGCGGAAGCGGTGGCGGTGGTGATGCAGGAAGGGCTGGCTCATATCTGCTTCATCACCCAGTTCCAGACGATCCTGAAACAAAAGGTCGAGATGTCGATCCCGCGTAAGAGACAAGGGGGTAGTGATCACGACAAGGTCGGTCATTGCTTGTGCTCGAAAGTCGGTAGGCTAAAGCTGATGTTTCGGGCAAGGGTATGGCCAAGTTTTTCCAAGTCACGCTGGACACGTTACTCCGGCAGATGGAATTCAACGCCAGTTCGACAGCGTCGACCAGCAATGAGCCGGTCAGACCGATCCTGCTGGCCTCTCCCGGATTCGTGGCGGCCGGTTTCCAGAAACACATCCAGTCGGCAGCATCGACAAACATGCCCGCCCTCAAACGCCTTCTGCCCAGTATTGTGGTAGTACATTCTGCCTCTGGTCACCTCCATGCACTGTCCGAAGTCCTCCAGTCACCTTCCGTCAAGACCCTTCTCGCCGATACCAAGTATGCGCGCGAGACCAAATTGATGGATGATTTTATGGAACACCTCCGCAAGGAGACGAACAAGGCCACGTACGGCCCACGCGAGGTCGAGAAGGCCGTCGATCAGGGTGCTGTCGGCAGAGGCGGAGGAGTTCTCATCATATCAAACCGCCTATTCCGCGCGCAGGACGTCGCGGAGAGAAAGCGGTGGGTTGCGCTGGTCGACCGGGTCCGCGACGTTGAAGGCGGCGAGGTGCGAGTGCTGAGTTCCGACCACGAGAGTGGGAAGCGACTGGACGGGTTAGGAGGCGTCGCAGCTCTCCTGACATTCCCGATTGCGGAGGAGGAACTCGTCTCGGACGAGGACGAGACGGTAGCGGACGGAATGGTAACAACGAACGGACAGCAGGCTGTTGAAGCGCATTAGAGGCACTTATTCGAACTAAGGATATCGATCAAAAATGAAGCATTTAAAGGACTGTATATAATGCGGGATGGTCTAGACAGTAGAATTCCCATACATAATCCATTACGTTTCTATCGCAAGTTCTTGTCCTCTACAGTCCAATACCTGTTCATGAGACGACGCTTCTGTTTTCATGCTGAGATCCTGCAATTCTGCCTCGTCGTCTCACGTCGTGTTTTACATGACAAGATATCCCTCCCGCTGTTATGTTAAGAAAAGAAAAGAAAAAAAAAGGGATTGGGAGTTTCTCCTCCCTCCCGGGTACTCGTACGAACGAACAAAGTGATTGATGGTTAGATCATACATACATAGATCAGATCATCATAGAAATGCTGGTGATGGAGATGTGAATGTACTAGTGATGGTGATTTAAATCTCTACTCTATGCAACAAATAAAAAAGAAAAGAAAAAGGAAAGGCAACTTTTTATATTCTGAAATATGATCAGGACCAATCTGCTGTACAGTCATGTCTGCAAGAAAGGTAGGTCTAAACATCTATCAGAAATTGTTTGGAGGTGAAAGGGACAGTGATGGATACATAGGTAGTATTCAGTTTTCAAGTTAGGGCTTACTCTCAGCAAGATTATATATTAAGAACACATGCCCAGCACATAAGCACATGAACTGAACGTGAACAGACCAGACTATTATCAGCATTGTGCAAATAAGAATTAGCTTCAAAGACTGGGAACATGATGTTAATTACGAATTGAGGAATGGTTTAAGGAGTAGGGAAACTAAGCAGATCTGTAATTAAGAGCAGCAGGATTATTATTAGGGGGAGATTTTAAGAAAAGTCAGTCAGTCAATTTCCTAACTACGGAAATAGTTTATTCGTACTGTTGACAGGTGGATTGAGAATGCTTAGCTTGCGGGGAAACGCGCTTCGCCTCATCGTGGGGGCTGTGTTCCAAGCTTAATTAAAGCTGGCAGCTGCCCTAGCCATCTACGTCCATGTTATTGTTCTCCTGGTACTGCAACATGACACTTAAATAGGTTCACTAGAATAAAAGTGGTAGTATTCTAACCAGATTACTCCGTACATGTAACAAGTCCGGCAGACAGTTGATTCACTTCAGATGGCATCGCCAACCCGCTCTGTTAGTCTTCTGAGTCTCCCCCAGGAGCTTATCGAATGTATCCTCCTTCATCTACGAGCAGGTCCATCTCTGCAGGATCTTGGCAGGGTGGCCCAAGTGTGCCATCGATTGCACCGACTGGCCACCCCGATTCTCTACTGTTCGGTCTGGCTTCGACATCCAATCAATGGCGACAGATTTGCCTGGACGATACAGCACTGTCCGGCGTTGATCCATCTCATCCGTGAATTGCAATTTCATTACCATTGCGAGGAGAGTGAGGACCATGGTCCCGAAGACCTTGACGGGGTCACCTCTCAGTTATTCAACCTGGAGGCCCTCGTCATCAGGGCCAAGTATTTTGAGGCACGACCTTCTTACCCCAACCTGCCCCCAGCTAAGGAGCTGGAGGCTGTGGAAAGATGGGAAGAGAACAGGCTGTTCTGTCAAGCTGCCCGACCAGGCTCACAAGTTCTTCCTGCCCTAAGCTCCTGTAAACAGGTCAATCTCAGTGCTGCTCATTCATTCATTTCCTTTCCTTTCTATTCTTTTGTTCTGACGTCCTTCAGGCGACCTCGGATTTGATTATGAAATAAACCGGGAGGATGTCTGGTGGAATATGTACCTCAAGGAGGCAGTCTTCTATCACCCCGGACTGCGCCGTATCTCCATCACCGGTGCTGTTTTTACAGGATTTAGTCTTAATAATTCCAAGCGACTTGCGCCGGCCAGTCGATCAACCCAATTGGAAGAGCTAATCCTGTTAAACTGTGACATTGGACCGGAAGCCATTTCGGAAATTCTCACCTATCCCCGTGCGCTGAAAAGGTTCACCTTTAAAGGCGAGGAGACAACCCCTATGGTGGGCATCGAACGCAGCAATGACAGGGGCTAATATGTAGATGCCTTGAGACCGCATGCATCCTCCCTGGAATACCTAGATCTGGACCTCTACTTCCAATATGATGAAAGTGTGGATCTCAGCGACTTCTCTGCTCTCAAGCACCTCACGATTCATCCCGAGATGTTGACGGAGGATTGGAAGGGGATGGAACCCTTTGGAAAGCTTCTCCCACCCAGTCTGGAGAGCATCACCTTTCGGGATCACTTTGGTGCCTTCCCTCTGGCAACCATCTACGAGAAGGTGTTGAGTGGAGAGCTTCCTCATCTGCGCACTCTTACCTGCCATACTCCTGTCCCTCCAGCCAAGGATATGACCACCGAAACATGCAAGGATGGCAAGACTTTTGTGGAAGCGTTTAAAGAGTTGGGTGTGCAGCTCTCTGCCGCCGTCGTCGATGATCCGACGAGGATGCCTGAATATGACTCTTGCCCCTGCGAATGCTGGTACTATTACCATCGCTTCGGGGGGTATATGGATTATTGGTGAAATGCTGTCAACCTGGGAAGCTATCATTCACACTAGGGGTTCACTAGATAACCTAGTTTTTCTTTTGTGCCCCAGTATGTTTGACAAATGCAAGGAACAAGAGATTGATGTGATTTCCAGACTCAGAATACAGTACCTACTATATTTCACTTGGTAAACACCAACCACGGCGAGAATAACAATATTCAGCTTTACTAGCCAGGGTTGCTGATAGAAGGAAGCACATGAATATTGGCAGATATCCCGGCATACTACCCAAAAAGGTAGGTGATAGGTAGTTTTGTAAGCAGGCAGTTCAGGAGTATTATTACCATTACCTCCGTGCAGTACAGTACCCAAGGTGGAGTATGATAAAATAAACTCCGATCACATTGGTAATAATCAATTGATCACTTGGCATGATATGCTTGTGTTACTCTGTAAGTGAGGTGGATGCTCGGCACAAAGTATCCCCGGACCGAGCATCCGACTCAACTGATGTCACTCCACCCATCAGACCCTCCTACGTCTTCACACCCCTATCAACACCCTCTAGACACAACATCCATGCCTCGCCATCTTCAATTCGTCGTCGCCACTGTCGACAGCGATGCCCGACCCGCCCCGGCGCATCCTCGAGAAGTCCAGGACCGTACGCCGCCGGTACCAGCGCAGCAACAAGCGCTTCCAGTTTACCGCGTCCCAGATCGAACGCATTGAGCGCGAGGAGGAGCGCGAACGCAGAGCCCAGAAGCTGCGCGAGAGGGAAAAGAAGCGGATCGCCAACAAGAAGAAGAAAGCCGAGAAGGAGGCCCGAGAGCGCGAGGAGCGCAGACGGCTGGGTCTGCCCGATCCCAATGTCAAGGTCCCGGCCAGCCAGCCCCGTCTGCTGAATTTTTGGAGAGGAAGAAAGAGCAGCAGCAGCAGCAATTGACGGAGTTGAGTGAAAAAGAGTCGAGTCAGCAGGACACGGAAGTGGAGACGGAAGCTGAAGACTGGTTCGATGAAGATCAAAGCCAGAGTGACGCTCAGGCTGGATCTGGCACTTCCAGAGACAGCAATGAGAAGGTCTCAGCTGTCACCGCTCATGGACAAGATTCACACCGGGCAATGCCACCAACGATGATGGTAACAGACTGTGACGGGAATGTGAATGAGCACTCCCCTCCAGACCCTGTTCTCGATCTAGGGGAGTCCTTTCGGGATGAAACTGCCATCCTGCTGGAAGACTTGGATCCTGACACTCTACAACTGTCAGGCCAAACTCAGAATGAGCATCCTGAAACTGATGTCAGCTGTGCACAGTCACAATCTGAGGCTTCTTTGACCTCACGCTCCACTTGTGAACCTATATCTCAGCCTGACTCAACGTGCCCTTCTGCAAAGGGAGATAGCTCAAAAATCCCGCCAGACATGGCCTCTCCAAGTCACAACAAGATGTCTCCAGCTGAATGTGACGGTCCGGAGCCATTCGTTATTTACCAGGACCCAGATGATGTCATCGCCCAGATCTCGACTCAGGATCTGCTCGAAGTCGACGATGGCAAGGACGACTACAAAGAAAACTGGCATCCGAATATCCCGTACGGACCGCAGCAGCGGAGGCAGCCAAACGACGTGACTCCACGCCGTCGGCCCAAGCCATACAGCGAGCTTCAGACGCGGGCAGAGAGACAGCCGTTGATGACTCTTAGTCAGGCTCCTGATACCCTGATGGATGAAACGAGCAAGAAGAAGTCTCCTTTAACGACTCGATCTAGACGAGGCTCGTCACCTACGCCGATTGGACGCAAGAAGCAGGTCGCAGGAAATGCGGGCATGCCTGCATCTACTGCCAGTCCTACGAAAGATTGTCTGGTCGCTAATGAAGACGATGACGAGGATGAGTTTGGCGAATTCGACCTGACGATGGAAGAGCTCGAGGCGCTTTGCGCGTGATCTAGCTGGTTGAAGCAAATTGCGATCATTTTCATCTCGACGTACGCGACGATCTATTCTCGACAATCACCTCGTGAGGTATAAAGTAGCGGACGAGCAACATGACTCGACAGGCAGATGACATGGAGATGATCGAAAACCGTCACCTATTATCCACCTCGACGAAATTATACCTGCATAGCAGGACACGAAGTTATTCATTAGAAGAAGCGGCGTTTGTCTATCACCAGAAGGCGCGAGATCAGACGGGTGGGCTTTTTATTTTATTTTTGTTTTAACTGTAGATACCCTTCTTTGTCTTTTGTTTTATTTTGCCCCCCCCCATTTGTTTTTTCTATAGCATGGGATAGGATAGGACAGGATAGGATAAGATAGGGAGAATTGCATGGCATGTATACATGTAATGTATGTACTATATTCTAGCAAGCAAGAGAAATGAATTTTTTTTTATTTAAAAAAAAGATCGACTGATTGTTTTTACCATAGCATTATCACACACATACACACATATATATAAGCTCTCTCTCTGAAGTGAAGTGAAGCGCAAACTTTATAATTAATTACCTTACCTCCTGACGCTACAAGTGATACCCCTCAATCTTGATTAGGAGAGGAAAGAAGAAGACAAAAAAAAAAAGAAAGAAAGAAAGAAAAGAAAAGAAAAAGAAAAGAAAAAGAAAAAGAAAAGAGGAAAAAGGAGGGGTAATTACTTTTTCTTTTTTTGAAAAAATACCCATCCCAGAACGTTTGAATGAACGAACATAGTACGGTAGTAATAGTAGTTACTACTAAGCATATACATATATATATAGTAAGTAGTAGGAGACAGTTTACGCCTTGTTTTTTTTTGTCGTTTTTTAATGAATATTTCTCTTTTCTCTCTCTTTTTAATCTTCTGTCTGGAGGTACTGTCATTCTCAAGTTATTAATCAATAATAATAATCATGCCTCTTCCTCCATCCGCTAGGAACTACTTGTAAGAATATATATTTTTTATTTTATTTATTTTTATTCTTATTTTTTTTTGCATTTAGTCCCCCATTCTTGAATTTTTTTTCTTCATTCAGTATTTCTTTGTCGCATAGCGTAGAGAAATATCATCACATCACCACCGGCATTTCGTTTCCATGATGTGACATCAAATCAATCACATGCCTTCTTTCATCCTTTCCCCGTGTGTATGTATGTGATCAATCACGTTGTTCGATCGTACGTACGTACGGAGACCCGGAAGATACTCCCAATTCCTTTTCTTTCTTTTTTCTTTCTCTTCTTAACATAACACCGGGATGGGGATATTTGTCATGTAACACATGAAAAATACTAACAGAAAAAGGAGGTCAAAAACTAAAGTAAATTAATTCATTTCCTCATCGACCAACTAATTTACTCCTCGTCTTCCTCCTCCTCAACAGTCGTCCGGGCAATGCGGTCCAGGTCACGCTGGCCGCTCTGCGTGATGCGGCGACCGCCCTTCTCCTCGTCAATCTCGACAACGCCAATCTTCTCGAGCGCCTGCAGGATCTTGCGGTCGACCTGACCCGAGGCGTCGACGTGGTGCGAGGGCCGCGAGCCGCGGTTCTTGGGCGAGCCGTGCACCTTGCGGAGGCGACCGACGCCGACGGTCTTGCGGAGGTAGATGTGGCGGGCGACGGCGGCGGCGCGGACGTAGAACCTGGAGGCGCAGCGCGTTAGCGCATAGCAAGTAATTATAGAGTGTAGGGCAGACGTACCAGTCAGCGTCCTGCGGAGGGAGCTCGTTGGAGCAAGAGGTCTTGACAGTGTCGACCCATCCTGTTGCAGTCAGTCAGTCGAGTCTGCACAAAATGCCTACCCTGCGATGTTCCCCACGAACCTGGAATCTGGAGCTTGCCCTGACGCTTCAGGAACGCGGAGTAAGCCGCGATGAACTTTTGCGCCTGCAGTTGAAAAAATCCCGTCAGCCATGGCTCTTCTTCCCTGTATGGCATTTGCATCCTGTGGCCTGTCGCTCGGTCGCTCTGTCGCTCTCTCGCTGCATCTCCCTTGAATTGAGATAGCTCTCTCTTCGCAATTATCCTCAGACTAATCCACCTAGTTCGAGACCATCGTCCATAAGACCTCCCAATATCCTCAATCTCAACCTGAGCAATCTGTCCCCCACACGCCGACTCAACTCATTCTCATTCAATTCCTCCACTCGCACGTAGCAGCATCCTCTTCTATCTATTTCTCTCTCGAGAGAGAGACACAGCGAGAGAGCACCGAGCACCCAAAGAAAGGCCCGAGATGACACCAACTCAATTCAAAGGCAGCAAGCAAGCAAGACAGCAAGCAACTTACGTCCACATCGCGAACGGTGACACCACCCATGGTTGCGACTTGCTGGTTATTCTCTCTCGAACCTCGTCGAAAAGAAAGGTTTGTAGACGGACGGACGAGGAGGGGCGTTGTCGTGGTCGAGGCCTCGAAAATTCGCACGCACAACAAGGACAGGACAGGACAGGACAGGCACTGGGGTTGGTGGTTCGGATTCTGTGCGGGCGCGCTTTCGCTTAGCCTGTCGGGGTTTAGCCGTGCCCTAAGTTTTCCTAACGGAGAGAAGCGCCAAGACTGGTCAGGCTGTCAGGCATCAATTCCTGCCTCAGGCATAAACATATACTATACTTCAGGATTTATCTAACTAGCAGAACTGCATAGCACAACTGTTGTTGGAAAAGAAAACAGAGAATTCTGCATTATTAGAGTATCCTACACTACTGTACAGTGGTATCGAATTATGTAATCGTCACTCGTGGCTCTAAGCAACAAGGAAAAAAGAACAAAAACAATACCCAAAAACAATACAATACCCAACCTTGACCCTCTATCTAGCCCAACGCCTAACCCATCCGTATAGTAGTTATAGTAGTGAGACTGCATTCTACAACGTTGGCGCCCGCTTGAGCCCAACGCAATACCGCACAAACAGCGTATCAATAAAGTGCTCGTGTCGGATCCCCGGCGGGCGGCACTTCTCAAACTCGTCGATGGCCCCCTGCACGCTGAACCCTTTCCTCTCGATCAGGTAGCTGACGATCAGGAAGCCCGTCCGGTTGAATCCGTAGTGGCAGTGTACCCCGACCAGCGGGCGCGTACACTCCCCCTCGCCCTCGCCCTCGCCTTGCTGCTTCTCCTTCTCCATCTTGTCCGTAATCTCCCTCTCCAGCCGATCGACCAGGCCGATGAAGTCCCGCGTCTCGTCCGGCGTCGGCGGGATCTTCGATACCGTCGGGTGCTTGTGGTAGTGGATCCCGCCTTTCTCCAGCTGGTTGGGATCGTACACGGGGTTCTCGTGGCTGATGTCCACCACCGCGTAGATCTTGTCCTTCCATCTCTGCGAGAAGAGAACCGGGTTATGCTCCTCATCCACCTCCCGCAGCATCTTCAGCGCCACGAAAGTGTCCGCGATCGGCTCCGACGTGGGCGCCACCTTCTTCCATTTGGCGAGATTCTTGACATCCCACTTGCCAGAGGTGTTCAGATGTTGCAGCTGCCAGCCCAGATTGAGTCGATGATCCACGTGCTTGAAGAGAAAGTCTTGGATGAGGCCTGCCAATGTCCGGTAGGTCGCACGGTCATAAAGAAGCGCATGAGAAGCGGGCGCAGGGAGGATCGTCGTCTTCACGACCCGCCTCGGATTGACGGAGCCCGTATTGTTCGTCTGCTTCTCGTCGGACTCGTCGCTGTCCCGCGGTAAGACAGCCTCCCCATCTGCGGCCTCGACTCCGAACTCTGCCTCATGCGCGCGTGGGTCGTAAGGCGCCGGAATCTGATTGTGAACCCGGGACGCGTTGGGCACGACAGAGCTTCCGGTATCGGTATCCATTCTTGTTTCGCCGTGGGTGCTTCCGAAATACTTGAGGAGCTTCTCAATCTCCGCCGGCTTGGTGATTGCGTCGGCCTCACCGGCCACGAGCAAAACGGGCGTTTGCAGACCCATCCAGACCTCCTGGCCCGGCATGCCCCCAACCGGCTTGTCGTCCTTGTATTCCGGCAGACTGCCCCAGGCCATCCGTCTCCACACGGCCGATCGGCTTTGCGCATTGAACCGCACTTGGAGCTGTCGCGTATCAGGATCGGCGTCGTTTCCGACGAACCGAGAGACACTCTTGCTCTTGAGACCACCGCGCCGGTCCCAGAGTCGCCATAGATTGAAAATGGGGTTGGGGATCCAGAGCAGTCGACGGAACAGAGCCACTTCCCGTGGAGAAGGGGGCGCCGCTTTGGGACAGACAGCAATGAGACCCAAGATATGTTGCTGTAGCTCAGTTTTCACGGGCGAAGTGGAAGACGCCAGCAAGGCAGACAAAGAGCAGCCCAGGCTGTGCGCAATCAACACGACACCTTGTCCAGCAGCCCTGTCGCGATGCCTTTCAATTACCACAGCAAGCAGCTCTGCCAGCGCCTCGATCGTGTACGCATCCCAGGACTTCGGGGAGAAGGACGACAGGCCGCAGCCGGGGAGGTCGATTCCAAGACACGGCCCGACATTGGACAGACTGGTGAGAAGCGGGTGGAACTGCGCCAGAGATCCGCCCAAGCCGTGTACAAAAACCAGCAGAGGAAGCGGGCTGGGCTTGGACGGGAATTTATCCATCTGGGGGTGCTGGCGGAAGAACGTTCTGACGGAAGGATAGGTGGCCACCGAAGTCGTGTAGGAGACGTAGGACGAGTGTTTCTTGAGTAGACCCGGATCCACATACTTGTCTGTCATGGCAATCATAGACGTTAGTCGTAGTTTCGTACTGTATAAAAACAGGGCGACGACGAACCACTGTTGGAAAATCTCTGATACGTGGTCGCAAACTCCCTCTCGCTGACATCGGCGATCTTCTTCCGGATCGACGACGAGCTGCGCTGCTCGCTCTCCTCGTCTTCGGACGACGACGTCACGGTCCCGCTGGAGGCTTTGTGATAGTGCCGCCTCACCGGCGGCCGCTCCGGTTGTCTGCGGCGAGCCCAGAGGCCCGACAGAATTCCACAGCCAGCCATTGCGGTCAAGCAGGTGGTCCAAAACAGCAGATTTGTCCAGTTCAAGCGCACATGGCTCCCGGCGTCGGCCCACCACAGGTGTATGAGCCGTCCGAATAGACCGCTGCGGGAGAAGGAAAGGGCCACGTTTCCGTCGGGCTGGGGAGTGAGCGACGATAAGAACGAGGAGAAGGAGGAGGAGGGAAGATTAGGATCTATCGACGATGCCATTGTCGGCGCGGCACTGGACGCAATTTATGGAGATCAGGTAGCTAGCTCCCACCCCTAGGAGAGCAGTCAGGTCCGTGACTCTAGCGCCCGGCAGAGCCCCGAAGCACCAGCGTGGCCAAGCAATGCTCAGCAGCCTCAGCTTCCCCGGGCTTCCCAGTGCCCAGGATCCGCGACTCTGGACAGGATCAGGATCCGCAGCCAACGGGGCTGATCACTCCACGGGATATCAGCAGGGCGCCCTAGTGGCATACAGGCAGCGCTGGGCACGAATGCGGCGGTGGAGAGCGATCAATAGTGGACTCTCGCCAGCACATCAACGCAGCACTGGCCAGCCAATAGGTAGTTTGAATCGGGCCCAGTGCAGCTCTCGCTGGCTGTGAGTGTGGCTGCGAGTGTTCTCTTTGGCGTCAACGGAAGCGCTGCGTTCGGGCCGCTGCCGCTAGAAGAGCAGATTGCGTCAGAGTTCAGGCTTGCTGCAGGCGATCAGGGAGTGCAGGGATCTGGCATTATTGGACGATTCTGTGGCAGCAGATGCAGTCAGCAGAGAGAATAGGAGGAAAAGAACCAGCAACGCGGAGGCGAGAGGGCCACTGACTGGCGAGCAAAGATTTCTTTCTTTCGTCCGCTCACCGGGACGGGCGAGCGCACACAAAGAAGCAGCCAGCAAAGCACCCTCCGCGGGCGATGTGTCAACTCCGAGGCGTGACAGGTCGCAAGAGGCGGCGCTGGTTCTGGAATTGGTGATTGGCGATGTGCCAGCCTGTCAGCGCTGCAGCACGGGGGTCGTGGCGGTGATGGCGGATCTCTTCAGGCGTCTGGCGAGGCCCGGCAGAGCGGTGGAAGCGCCTCTCTCCACCGCAGCCTCGCTTCCGCCGCTTCGGTGCAGCTTCTAGCGCAACTAATTCTCTGTAAGCATAAGCTTAAGCATCTTTACGGCGTAAACATGACAGAACAGTTTCTATTTTTTTTGGACTGTTTCGCTGCTCTCCTTTTTTTTTCGCCCCTTGTGGATATTCTCTCCGCCATCAACAGCCCGCGATCGAGCCACGTGCAACGCTTTTTCCGTATTTGGTTGTCCGGTTTCTGAAGAATAACAACACTCTGAATAAGAAGAAAAATAATAACAATAATGATATGCAGGCGATCAACCTCACCGCCATTTTACTGATCAGGACGAAGTACACAACTCTGTTGATATAAACACTGCAGCTACGGATTACTACAGACTGCGTACGGAGTATGTAGACCATCAGAACAAGTCTGTGTCGGTCATCGCCCCGTGCGAGGCGTCGCCCACCAGTCGCGCGTACTTGGCCAGCACTCCGCGCGTGACATGCGGCTTGGGAGGCGTCCAGTTCTTCAGCCGCTCCTGGATCTCCTCGTCCGAGACGTGCATGTTGATCTCGTTGGTTTCCGCATTGATGGTGATAACGTCGCCGTCCCGGACCACGGCGATGGGACCGCCCACCGCCGCCTCGGGCACGATGTGGCCGACGATGAAGCCGTGGCTGGCTCCCGAGTATCGCCCGTCGGTGATCAGGGCCACGTTGGTGAGCTTCGCGCCCATCAGGGCCGCGCTGGCTTTGAGCTGCTCTGGCATTCCCGGTCCGCCCTTGGGGCCCTCGTAGCGCACTACGAGAACCAGGTTCTCGTCCCGCGGAATCGCGCCCTTGGTGAGGGCGTCGTTGAGCTCGTGCTCCTTGTTGAACACGCGAGCCTTGCCCGTGAACTTGGTTCCCTCTTTGCCCGTGATCTTGGCCACTGCTCCGCCTGGAGCCAGGTTCCCCCGGAGGATCTGGAGGTGACCCGTCGGCTTGATCGGATTGTCCAGCGGACGGATGATGACTTGATCTTGAGGCAGGGACGGGAAGGGCTCGACGTTCTGGGCCAGAGTCTTGCCCGTCACCGTGGGGATATTCCCGTCCAGCAGCCCAGCCGCGATGAGCAGCTTCTGCACCGACGGGATCCCGCCGATCTCGTACAGGTCCGCCATGTAGTATTTCCCGCTGGGAGCCAGGTCGGCGATGAAGGGGATCTTGTTGCTGACCCTCTGCACATCGTCGAGAGTGAGATCCACGCCGGCCGTGCGTGCCATGGCCAGGAAGTGGAGGACCCCGTTGGTGCTGCCGCCCAGGGCCATCGTCATGACGAGGGCGTTCTCAAATGACCGCTTGGTCAGCAGATCGCGCGGCCGGATGTTCTTCTCCAGACAGGTTTGGATGGCGTCCGCAACCTTGACGCACTCGCGCATCTTGGACGGCGACTCGGCGGGCGTCGAGGACGAACCAGGCAAGCTCAATCCCATCGACTCGATCGCCGTGGCCATGGTATTGGCCGTGAACATGCCACCGCAGGCACCGGCGCCGGGGCAGGCATGGCGCTCGAGATCCTCGATGATCTCGTCTTTCGTCTTGCTGGTATCTCCGCCGTCGTCGGGCTGGCGCAGAGTGTTGTAGGCGTAAGCACCCGCGGCCTCAAAGCAGGTGGAGATGTTGATCGGCTTGCGGAGCAGCTTGGAATATCCAACCTGGATCGTGCCGCCGTAGATCATGATCGAGGGACGATTGTGTCTGGCCATTCCCATGACGACGCCGGGCATGTTCTTATCGCAGCCGGGGATGGCGATACAGGCATCGTGGTACTGGGCGCAAGTCACGGTCTCGATGCTGTCGGCGATCAGTTCGCGGGTCTGGAGGGAGAACCGCATACCTGATGCCATCATCGTCAGCACGTTTCAGTAATCACGTCACATAGAGCTGTACAAGGTATGTATGTACAGTACCTACCTTCGCTGCCCATGGTAATGGCATCCGAGACACCAATAGTGTTATACTGCCAGCCAATCAACCCCTTATCCTGAACAGCCTTCTTGACCGTCTTCCCCAGATCGAGCAGATGCATATTGCAGGGATTTCCTTCCCACCAGACGGAAGCAATGCCCACGTGCGGGCTCTTCTTCATCGCATCCCGATCCGGCACGCCCGCAGCGTAAAGCATGGCCTGTCGAAGACAGTTAATACGGCATATAGATAAAAAAAATCAATTCTTTCAAAGTTATTCAAAGGTATACTACCTGAGCGCCGGGAAAGTCATGCCCCTTGGTGATGAATGTCGAATACCGGTTCAACACCGGGGTTCCATCCTCGTGCTTTGCGCCGTGAGGCACGGGGGCGAAATCAATGTACTTGTCTTCCTCAGCCATGGTGGATTCCTCAGTCGTCAGGTAGGTAGGTAGTTAAAATTGACTCAAAAAAGAAGTCAGACGGAGAGATAGGCTATCAATTAATCGGTGCGGGGTAGCGGGGAAGCAATGTTAGCTAGCTATGTACAGAGTACACTTTCGCAAGAAAGAAAATAGAACGGACGAAACAAGAAAAAAGATTGATTAAACTGTCCAGACAACAAAAGAGATATAATACTGGACAGAAACCAAAGAGAGAGGGGCCCTCGCTTTGAATTCCGACATAACCGCCCCTCCTGGATCGGAGTTGATCCGCTGTACGGAGTACAATCATCCACCTGGACATTACCTAAGAGTAGATCCTCATTGTGGGGTAATTGCAGGGCCCTGGGCCATGCCAATGGCAGAGCGGCATTTCTTGCTTGATGGAATATGCGCATGCTCATTGGTGGAGGGGCGGTTGTGGTTGAAATGGATATATCCGCGCCAATTAAGACAGTTGAAAATACAGTCCAGGTCAGGTCATTTATTGAGAGTAGTAAGTATTTCCTTTCAATGAGTAAGACTACCACTTAGACACCAGAGAGGAATAATCTATTTAGCTATCTATCTACATTTCAGACCAAGTTTCATCCATCCATAGTCTATAGAGGGGAGAAAATCCGGCGTTGCACACGCAGTAAATATACATACATGGCACCACTACTTCCCATCAATCCATCATAACGGACATAACACCTCAAACCAAACCAAAGCTCACCGCCGCCCCAAGCGCAGCTCCCAAGAGCGGGAAAACCCCCCTTACGGCATTCAGCCGCGTCCACTTTTCCAGCAGTGCAGGGACTTCGCGATCTTGCGCCTGTCGGACTTCATCCTTTTCCTTCTGGTCCTTCTGGTCCACGCTGGCGTTGCCGTTGTCGTCGCGCGTGGCATGCGCCTCAAGCAGCTTGTTAGTCGGCATCATGAGCCCGATCGTATACGGCACAACGCCGATCGTCAGCGACGCCGCAGCCAGATACAGTCGCGAGAGACGGCCATTGCGCACGTCGCGGAGTGCATACGCGACGTACGAGTATAGGAGAACGGAGGTGACGGCGATGGAAGGGAAGAGGATTTTTCCCTTGTTGTAGATGTTGAGGAATTGATGCGTTAGGTGGGATGCTGGTGTTAGTGGTGGTTGTTGCTGCTGCTGCTGCTGCTGGTGCTGGCGATCTGATCTGGAATTGCGGGCAGGGAGAGTCAAGGCGGGGATGGTGATGATGGAGAGGGGCAGGATGCCGCCTGTATCAATTCAGTTCAGAATGTGGTCAGCTTTAATTAATCACTATTTCTCTTCAAGAGCAACAGATCTGGTCTGAAGCTGCAAATGGAAATGACTGTACTGTACCAGACGCAAAAGCAGACGTAATGATAGCCGCCGCCTGTGCGGCCTTGACGCTGTAAGATTCCGACATGGTGTGTAGTAAGTGTGCAGCAGGATATGGAGCTACTAGGAGGTAGGTTAGTTATTGAACTAGACTATATAGATAGCATGGAAGAAGATAATCGTCAGCCTTGTCGATGATAATCGATCGATCCGAAGTGGAGTTATGACGTGTCCCCGGAAACATCCTACTCCGTCCACTGTCGGGACTCGGACAGCTTTGGGTCCCGTCGAGACCGAAGGGCCGATATTATTGTACTGTACTGTCCGTATGCCGACAGACATATACTGTTTATACGGTACGCAAGAAAAAAAATAATACTCCGTAGAAAACAGGGGCTGGGAAAAAGAAAAAAAGGTCTAAATCCACTATAATCCGAAATTTTCAAGAATTAACACAGAACAAAAGTTCAAAATAAGAAAAAAAATAAAAGAGAGACTGCCAGCTCTAGATTTCGCTGTAGATTACTACTGTCCATCTGCAGATGAAACTCCATTGTTGCTGTTACAGCTTCAGCTAATAGCAAGAGTTTTCTATAGATAGATACTTGCGAGGCAAGCGAGAAGGGAATTAATGAATGAATTCAATGGATTTTTATCCCTAGGAACGTGTCACTTACTACAATGTACTAGCAGTACAGCATCTCCATTCAATGCCGTTTGTGCATTCAATTCCATGACATGACTATTATTAAGGGTATCGATGAATATCACATATATATGTATTTGTGTAGCTGACAGATTAAGACTCCTCCGTTTCAGTCTCTGGTGTACCTGCGTCAGGCGACTCTCTCTCAACCGTCGACCAGGTGCTGGAGTCCTGAAGCGCTTCATCCGCATCCATATCCTGCAACGATCTACTACTCCCCCCAACCTCCTTGTCTGCCACTGCCTCCGCCTCTTCCGCATCCCCGGCCACTGCGAACCCGACATTCTTCCCACTGCCGGACGAGCGACGGGTTTCTTCCAGTACGTCGCCGTTCCACGGTTTGCACTGCTTCACGAGCTCACCGCAGCGGAGGCAGATCCAGCCTTCTCCCTCTTCCGCTTCCAATTTCTGCGTGATGCACACGAAGCAGTATATACACCCGCACGGCACCGTCTCGTACGGATTCGTGATATCCGTCTGCGCAGAGCCAATGATCCCTCCAGAGCCGGACGCGCCGAGAAGATCGCTCTCGGACGTAGACGTCGGATTCTGCTCCTGATAACAGATCGCGCACGTCCGCTCCGGTAGGAAGGCCAGCTGGCCTCGTTTTTCCCCAGCACCATCTTCCTCATCGCTGGCTCTCATCGCCGCAACGGCTTTCCGCCACGCTCGGGTCACCCATCGCCGCCATCGGCTGATCCCGACAAGGGGAAGAAGGAAAAGAAGGAACTCGGTGAACGCATGCCAGACCAGTTGGCGGTTGAGATACTCAAAGGACACCTCGCGACTGACCTGACTGGAAGGCGGGGCCAGTCGAATGCGGAGGATGCGGTCGATCAACGTTCGATACCGACCGTTCACGAGAAAGACGAGGAAAGAGATAAAAGCTGCGATAGAGTGCGTCGCGGAAACGAGTTTCGTTATTCGGGATAAAAGCCGTATATCCTGAGAGGGCTGATTTCTGTCAGTCCCGACGCGGGACCACTCCGGCGCAACTGCGAGCTTACCTCATCGTAACCACTCTCCCGATCAATCAACCAATTCTCCCACTTTTCCCACGCGTAGCGACCGCCAACCGTAAGGAGGCCGTACAGGATCTTCTGCCACTTCGTCGGAGGGGTAGGGACAGGCGATTTGCTTCGGCTGTCTGTGTATCGCAAGCCTTGCAGCGCTGCACCGTAGGAGGCGTTGTGGTCCCATATGGAGAGCTTGAAAAGGATGGCGCGCAGAGCAAGCTGGATCTCGCTCGACCAATCCTCGCGAATATGAGGCTGTCAAAGTAAGAATATTAGTTGCCGTTGTACAAAACAAACACATGAGTCATCTGTCTTACCCCGAAATATTTGAGCGCTTCGCCGACTTGTCCCTTGAGCAGATCCAGCAACTCCTCATCGAGCAATTCGGCATCGACCTGGCCGACACGGAAGCTCGGTCTCGTCCCCTCGCGTCCCTTGATCTTATCCAACAGCTGAAGTCCTGACCCGGACAGCCTGTTCAACGGGTACGGCAGTCGTTCCAGATCGATGCGTGACGCACGCTGCTGCTGCTGCTCCGCGACCCGGGCGCGAGCTTCCGCCTCCAAGAGACGACGGCGCTCCAGGACCCGTTTCTGAGCGGCAGCGAAGTTGGCGGAAGTCATCGTGGGATCATACTGAGCCACATCAAAATGGCCAAGGACAAGTCGATCACAAACGATGGGAGAGCGACAACAAGTCGGGATCTGATTCCCGCGGGCACGGGCAGCCGAGGTTGAAATGTGGCACGTGACTTGGATCTTATCAGCGTTATCAGCACACGTCTTTGATATTCTCTACGCAGCTTTAATCTCAAATGATACAGATTTCTACTTGAAGAAGGGTTAAAAAAAAACGAATCTTAATTCTATCGTAGTACTCCCGACTAATGTACGCAGACTAGGCACTGCAAAGCCCCAACACATCGCTAGGAAGAACCCAATCCTTCATCAGATCATTCCGCGCTTGAAACTGCATCATCAGACCAGCCTCGAGATGCCAGGCAATGTGGCAGTGGAAGGCCCACATCCCCGGATTGTCGCTTACGAACCGTAGCAAGACCCACCCGTAGGAGTCTACGATAATAGTATCCCTCCGAAGTGGGTTGGTCGTGTTCAGCGATCCGTATGAGTCCCAATCGAAGTACTGGTTAGGCGAGGACGCCAGGACCCAGAATGTATGCCCGTGTAGATGGAAGGGATGCGAGGAGTCGTCGAAGTTGGTGAGGAGGATGTCAACCACTTGATATTCAGGGATGCTGATGATGTACTGGTTGGAAAGACCGTAGGACGGTGCCACTCCGGTTGCGTTGAAGGTGCTGTTGCCGGACCGCAACCCTGGAACCACGGCATTGAGAGTGGGAATGTCCGAGACGACCCAGCTAGTTCCGTTGACATAAGCCCTATCCAAGGCATAAGCGCCGATCTGGAAGGAGAACTGAAGGGAATAAAGGACGTCGGCCGGCGGAGCCTGCTGCGGGACAGCCGGCACGAGAAGGGTGGAGTTGAGATCCTCGCACAGCACATTGGGATCCGCTGACCATTGCACCGAGTTTTGATCGGTAGGGAGCGCTTCGCTGTCCGTATAGCTTAAGATGGCCTTGACGCCTGCATCAAGAACCGGATTTTGGCCCGCAAAGCAGTACGTATCGAGCGTCGCACGAATCCAGTAGTTCGAGGGGTTCTGGTCGGCGGTCAGGATGACCGAGTACCGTTCTGCGACAGCAATGTCCACTTGATGGACCTGCAGCGGTTCGACCATTGTCGAGTCCGCCTCGATGACTGACAGGGTGTGGTTATCCACGGAGAACTTAAACATGGCGAAACCGCCTGCATTAATAAGCCGGAGGCGGTACCGCTGATTCTTCTGCACGTTGAAGAGAGCGCGCGACGAATTCTGGTAGCAGGTGTAACCGCTATCGCTGGGAAGAGAAGAGCAGTTGAAGAAGTTGGTGCCTTGGACGAGCCCATTGTCTGGCACGGGCTCGGTATTCTCGTTGCCCGGGGCGAGATAGTCTGGCAGATAGGATGCGCTCAGGTTGTGATAATAGTCCTGGAGGAGCACCACCTGGTCATGATCGTAGCTCTGGCGGAACTGGGCTTCTTCGGGGGCATGGACGATGAAAGGCCCGAACAGGCCGTCCATGTATTGGGTCGACGTGTGGGAGTGATACCAGAACGTGCCATACTGGTTCTCCACGGTGAAGTTGTACAGGAAGCTTCTGCCTGGGGGGATGGGGCACTGGGTAATGCCCGTGGTGCCATCCATCCAGTTGGTGCCATTCTGGTACAGGCCATGCCAGTGGAGGGTCGTCGGCTCGGACAGGTTGTTGGTCACGTTGACCAGGACGCGATCGCCGCGGTTCACTCGAATGAGAGGGCCGGGGAACTGTCCGTTGATTACGTACAATTTCCGCAGCACGCCTGTTGGGACGTTAGCAGAGTAGGCCAGGTTTCTTGGGAATCTATTGCTCACCATCCGGGAAGCCTTCCACCTCCGATATGGTAAAGTTGTACACTCGCGTGGTGGGTGGCGCGTTGAGATCCCACATCGTTGTGTCCAGGGTATATTCGGAGGGGTTCCGCCTCCATGGTTCGTTTCCCAGCGGCGGATTATACGCCACTGGAGAGGATGTCCCGTTCGAGGGAGCAAAGCTGCTGCCATGGTGCTTCAGTCCCAATCCCAGGCCCAGACCAAGGCCCAGCGCGATGACAACAGACAGGACGGCTGAGAGCAGCACAATTACCAGAAGCCTCTTACGGCTCGTCTTGGGCGCCGCAGGGGCGATCTGCTCTTTGACTTCTCGTCCCTGCGGCGACGAAGAGTCGCTCTTCACCATGCCCTCCATGGCTGATAAGGACACACAGGCAGCGAGCTCGCATGCTGAATGATTGAGCCCGGGCCTGACGAAGGGAATATACCGTGCTACGCCAGCAATCAACCGCGACTCCGGGTGAAACCACAGCCGGACAGTCCAGTCGCTAAATCCTGCTCGCATGCAACCGATACTACACGATAGATTCTAGAAGCGGGCATGATGCCGAGTTCCGACGCGGGCGCTCCATTGCCTCGATCGATTGGCAAAGCTTGACGAGCTTGTCTTCCGGATCGAGTTGCTGCAGGAGCGAATGCAACCTGCGAGGAAGGCGCGCACCGCTCAACGGCTGCGGTTGCCGCACGTGCGCCGAGCGCGCACCTGCCTTGGCGGACGTTCTGGGCTAGCTTCCGCTCTGGGGCAGGGAAGGCGCCAAGCCGGAACTGCCCGCAGCCCCGTCACCGGCCAATCGCGTTGCGGACAGCAGCTGCGGCGGCGAGTGAGAAGCGCGCGCCGAGCACCGTGCTCGCGGAGACTGGCCGGGGAGGCCCACTGGCTGTCGAATCCGCCCGGCGGGGCGAAATGCGAGAGATCGCGAGATACGGTGTCGTCACTCCGGAAGGATGCCACGTGCTGCCCTGCGTCGACGACCGTCTTATATATGAACGCGTCAGCCGGCTGCTTCGCTCGTTTTTCTCTCATCCCGGCGTCTGCGGACCTCGATTGAAGTTCTTCCTGTCAATTGCGCAACACCACGGTGCGGCCAGAGCTCAAGATGCAGTCCTCCATCGCTGTGATGCTCGCTGCTGCGGGCGTCGCCGTCGCCCAGGTGGCCACCACCAGCGAGCCGGCCCTCAGCCAGATCCAGGCGGCCGCTGCGACCACCCTGCCCTACTCGCCCACCTCCAAGGTCCAGGGCGTGGCCTTCGACCACTTCTACCAGATCTGGCTCGAGAACATCGTAAGTGGCCTTGTCTGCTCGCAACCAACAATGGCATGCTCACCCCTTCGTGACAGGACTACAGCTCCGCCGCCGGCGATCCCAACCAGCAATACCTGGCATTGCAGGGAATTGAGCTGACCAACTACTGGGCGATTGCTCACACCTCAGAGCCCAACTACGCCTGCGCTGCTGGCGGCGATGACTTTGGCATGGACAATGACAACTTCTGGCAGATCCCCCAGAACGTCTCGACGGTGGTCGACCTGCTTGAGACCAAGGGTATCTCCTGGGCGGAATACCAGGAGCACCTGCCATATCCGGGCTTCCAGGGCTTCAACTACTCCAACCAGGAGACCTATGCTAATGACTATGTCCGCAAGCATGACCCTCTAATTCTGTACAACTCGGTCACCAGCAATGCCACCAGGCTGCGCCAGATCAAGAACTTCACCAGCCTGTACGATGACATTGCCAACAACACGCTCCCTCAGTGGGCGTTCATCACGCCCAACATGACCAACGATGGCCACGACACCAACATCACGTTTGCGTCCGTGTGGGAGCGTGGTTTCATCGAGAAGCTGAGGAACTACACTGACTTCTGGGACAACGCCCTGATTCTGCTGACCTTTGACGAGACAGAGCATTACCCCATTGGCAACCGCGTCTTCAGTGTGCTGCTGGGTGGTGCCATCCCCAAGGAGCTGATTGGCACCAAGGATGACACGTTCTACACGCACTTTTCGAGCATTGCCTCGGTGTCGGCCAACTGGGGCTTGCCGTCTCTGGGCCGCTGGGACTGCGGTGCCAACATCTTCCAACTGGTGGCCAACAAGACCGGCTACACCAACTACCAGGTCGACACCACGCACCTGTTGCTGAACGAGTCCTTCTCGGGTCCTCTGTCGACCAACACTTACTCGATTTACTCGCCTGTGTGGCCCAACCCGGCCACCAACGAGAAGTGCTCGGCCGGCAATGGCATCCTCCAGCAGGTGAAGGAGACGTACGCCAACACGACTCCGACATACAACTACACCAGCCCGTTCCCTTACGACACCAAGACTGGGCGGGATGTGAACATTCCCTTCTCCCGCAATGGCACCACCTTCGTGTCTGGTGTGAACGACACGTCGTTGACCTCGACGAGCTCCTCGCCGGCGGCGTCCAGCAGCAAGAGTGCTGCTGGGGTGAGCAATGCCCCTGGTACGTTGGCCATCGTCGGTGGTCTGTTGGCTCTGGTCGGCAGTCTCTAGCTGACGGAGCAAGCTGTGAATTCCCAACGCCTTTCTATGACGAGACATGTAATTAGTACGTACGTGAATCTAGAAGTTGATGTTTTTAGTCTTTCTAAGCATCTCTACAGCAGTAGGATAAACGTTTTGGTGTTAAAAAAAAAAAAGAAAAAGAAAAAGAAAAGGAAAAAGAAAAAAGAAAAATCTTTGAATGACTTTCTGTTCTAGTTTCTCCTGATCACTGACTAGTAATAGCCCTGCGCAACATCTCCCGAAACTCATCCCTCGTCACCCCAAAACCAGACTCAACGCGATCACCAAAATCCGCTCCGTAACGATTACCCTCATCGAACAAGCCATAAGTGCCCAGCATCTGGTACGCCCGCGTGTTCAGGCGGTCCTGGACACCCCTAGCCGTATCCTGCGCCCAGAGCTGTTTCGCCTGATCGAAGAAGTTGTCCAAGGGGATGGTATCTGCTTTCCATGGTTGTTGATTTTGTTGGTCGTTCTCCTGGTCGATCTCGTTCAGAAGCTTCAGCAACTCGTTCGAACTAACGGTGTAATCGGCAAAGTAGGCCGGACGGTCCTGGAAGGCGTTGGGGTTCTTCAGCACGGTCACAGCGGCTCGTCCGACGATGTCGATGGCGGACATGCTGACGCGCTGGTTGCCGGAGCCGAAGATGGTGACTTTTCTGGTTTGAGGGTTTACCCAGAAGATTCCTCTGGGGATAGCTACGGACAACAGCAGTGATTTATGTTAGCTTTTATTGACACACAGCTGACGAGGTAGCAGACAAACCCCAATCAAAAAACGGCCCCGTGATAATAGCCGTCCAGTGCAGATCAGGCCTCTTCCTGCACGCCTCCTCCAGCACGGCCTGGGCTTTGATCTTCGGCTCGAAAATCATCAGTTCCCCGCAGTGCGCGTTGAAGGTGTCGCTGCTGAAATCCGGCGTGATGATGTGTCGCACGCTCTCGGTTTCGAGGGCCGCCTGCACGATGTTGGCTTGGTAGATGGCCGCGCTGGGGTTGAAGGCTTCGATGATGGCGTGCTGGTTTGCGAAGAGCTTTTTCAGTGACTCTACTGAGTTGTAGTCGACGTCGAAGATTTCTGCGCCGTTGGACAATGTCGATGAGGAGGAGGAGGAGTCTGAGGATGAGCGACGGGCGATGCGCACGTGGAATGACCTCGACTGGTCGTTCAGGAGGGCGTCGACAATGTGACGGCCGACATTTCCTGTTGCCTATAGTTTCAATACAGGTAAATATATACGCCAATATTAGATACATTATTTATGTGCTTACATACCCCCAGGACAACAACATTCCGAATGTCCGCCATGTTGAGGAATAAATTCACAGTCCCAGCAGCTGAAAAAAAAAAACTTCAATCAATCAATCAATCAATTGAATCCAGGACTTGCAGAAGTGTGAGTTGGAAGACATCATTCAATCATTCATCTTGAGGGATTGTTCGAATATGATACGCCTCTCCACCTGACGTCTGTTCGGACGTTTTCGTCCGAATCTATGTAATCTGTTTCTACGACAGAGACACCCCGCTTTTAAAAACAGATAATTAATAATAAATCTAGTTGATAATTATTAATAGGAATAGAACTCGTAATTTGTAATGATTGTGGATATCCAAGGTCAGGCTGTGGGTTGTAGATCTTATTATGTCCGCCGTGCTGTGTACACAATGTGTATGTATACCAGGACTTCAATCCACAGGCCTACCTACTTTAAGGTCCTACTTCAGGCGGCTTCCTATCTATATTATGTCCATCTGTATCTACCTTGTACTGGACCTTGTCATGTTCTTGCCGTGATACTAAGAATCATTGCAGTATCCTAGTCGCAACGATATTATAGCAGAGGACTAGCCAATGGAATGAATTGACAGACTTGAAATAATACTCATTAGACAGAATACAGATACACAACACAAGAGATGCTTTCATCACCTCTCCTCTGTTTCCTGCTACTCCCAGTCCAACATTCAATCAATTGATTCAATCAGATAATATCAATCTCCTTCGTAGCCTTTTCAGCCTCCTCGCCTTTCTTCGGAGCGCGAAGATCGAGCGGATTGACCCATGCTCCTGTGACAGGATGGGGGTAGTGAAATGGAACGACCTGGCAGAACAAAAACAAATCAGACAACGACCCAAAAAAAAAAGATCTTGCATGATATTTATTTACCCTCGTATCCGGCCACATCATATTATTCTCCGTCAGCTCATCCGGCCCCGCAGGATCCTCCGGATACGTCTTGCTGAAGAAAGGTACGTAGTTGGGGCGCGTTTTCTGCCAGCCCTTGTCAAAGTCTGCGTGCCAGAAGGGGAAGTACCGGAGGTGGAAGATCTTCCAGACGCCGTTTTCGAGGATGTAGTCATTTTCGTAGACACTAACCACTAATTAATCATCAAGATATTTTTCGTGTTTGTCTCTCTGTGTAGGGGTCTATGTGTAACGTACCCCCCCTCCCACCACTGTCGCTGACCACCCATAACCCCCTCCTCTCCCAAACTCTCGTGCGTACCCGCACTCATCAGCGTGCGCAGCCTCATCCTGGCAATCGGCGTCTCCCAGCTGGTGTCGATGTCGACAATGTCCTGCGCCAGCAGGTGGTCGAGCAGGAACCCGTGCAGCGGGCCGTTGCGCCCTGTGAAGTTGTTCATGAACCGCCCGATGTACAGTCTGCGCGCGCCGGCCTTGCCTAGGAAGCGTCCGCCGAGGAACTGCACTGATGTGTCGGGGTGGTCGGCGAAGAGGTCGACGACCTGGATATATTAGCTGTGTGTACGTCTGGAAATCTTGCTGGATGGTTACGATGGGAGGAATGGGAGGCGTACCTCTTGGTAAAGACACTTATCGAGATAGTACCCATACTTGTGGTGTAGTTTTCGTACTTCGGACTCAGCTGAAGCTCGAGTTAGAGTTGTAAAAAAAAATCAAATGCTGACCAGTAGAGTGATCTTTCGTTATAGGAGACGGATCGTACCGGTTAGAATCTGGACTTGTTTCTGGAGAGCTTCAACGGTTGCTTTCAGGTCTGCTTCTGCCATGGTAGGGTATACTCGATAGACTTAAATAATAACGAGGATTCAGTTCTTTCTTGAAATTCGAGTTGTACGTGAACTGTTCTTTCACCAGCACCACTCTGTCCAGGCTTTTTCAGGGATACTCCAGTTTACTTAAACTCATCCAAAGACAAAGGTATATCCTACGCGACCTGCAGTTCAATTAATGGTTCGGAGACGTAAAGCCGAGAAGAGGTATTTTAATCAATGTCCCCATCCCTGTCGTTTTGATACCTACAGTATGGTCTGGGCTTATAATCAGGTCTGGAAGGTCCCATGGATGCGCCCCATGGCAAGAAACGCGGGGTTCAGCTTTTATTACTGGCCTCGAACTTCTCCTGCTGGAGATACATTAAGGTGATATGCTCGTTCTGCGTGATATGACCCCACAAGTGGGGTTGCATTAATATGCAGCCCCTATTACACATTCCTCTACTATTAGCTACATACCCGGCGGATGATTAAACTCCACGGCGTTATTATTGATCCTGGGTCCTGAACTACTGACATTATCCACCTGAAGATTCCCCGCACTCGAGGCCCGCAGATCCGGGGTAATTGATTGTCTATTCCTAGTTTAGGAGTCGTGCAGAAGCATGATATTGTTCACCAGGGGAGGTGGCCTGTGCCACCTGAAGCTGTCCTGCATTTCCCTGATGAGGTCAGCATTGAAGTCTCGATGCAGGCCCTATGTCAGAAGAAAGTAAAGAGTTGTCCATAACATACTGCAATGAAGATGGGAATGTTGAAGGCCTCGCACAAGCAGAACTCGCAGCCGACAGCTCGCAGAAGGCGGACTGCCAAAAGTTGTGACCGATGCAAGCAAAGGAAAACAAAGGTATGTCATGTCTCATGTTCAGCGAGGCTTGTCCAGCTGGCGCTGACTGAGCTGATAGTGTTTGGACCCAGGTTCGCGAGTCGATTTGTCTGTACAGTACAATCAGTACGTTCGTCATGCCTGACGGATAGTCAACAGTGCCAGGTCCATGCCAATACTGTGCCAGCATCTCGGCGCCCTGCACAATGGCCATCAAGCGCAAACAACGCCCCTACTACACCGTCTCTGAAGAAGAGTACCGTCTGGCCATGCGAATCCTGCAGAAATTTCTGCACAACGACGAGTTGACCCTCGAAGTTCTCCGCGATACAGCGCTGCGGATGGAAGAGCAGGACTCGCATCCTCCCATAACGCTGACTCCTGACGAGACCCGTGAAACGGGTGACTTTCCAGCAAGAGAGCATCAAGGACCATCAGGATTCGAAGTCTTGACCCCCGGAAGCTCTCCACACTCGGAGAACTCAGGACTGCCAACGACGCCCGTCAAAGATCTGACTGAGAAGATTGGGAATCTCATGATCGACTCGACGGGGACTATGCGTAAGCCTGGAGATAATAACGTCAGGTCAGCGGCTAATATGATCTAGGGTACGTAGGACGAGAGGCGGATATCGTATTCCACAACGCAATCCGATCGGTCGTGGAAGGCGCCAGTCTTGACACCAAGCTGGGTGCATATCTGCCGCCGATGAGGTCTGCCTCGCTCCCACCGCCGTCGCCTGAAAGACAGAGCGCCATCTCTCTTTCAAGCCCGCAGTCGGTGTATCTCTCCTACCTTCCTCCCCGGCAGTGCTGCGACAGATATGTCGCACTCTTCTTTGAAGATATCAACAGCCGCTACTGGCTGTTCTCCTTTGAGCATTTCTCCTCGCGGCTGGACGAGACGTACGAGAGCGGGACAGAGGCTAGTAGCGCGTCCTGGCTCGGCTGTCTCTATTCCATCTTTGCTCTGGTCTCGGGCTCGTCGAGACTTGACTGTGCAGCCAATAGTTTTTTGCCCAATTGCCATAAATCAGAGACATTGGACCGGATAGATCCCAATCTCGCAATCCAAGATCGTCTGAATTCGACAGATTATTTGGCGCTGGCAAAGTCCTTGGTTACCCGGTTGCTGGACGAAGCAGACCTGGACAGCATCCGAGCATTATCATTACTCGTAAGTCGATGACTCGGTTTTCCTTGCTGCAATAGGCACTGAATGACCAGAGTCTGGCTCTGCAAAATGAATCGTTTACGGTGGGCGCGTATCTGTACATTGGTCTGGCAGCCCGGATCGCTCTCACGCTCGGTCTCCATCGGGACGAAGCTTATGATGAAATGAACACGGTTGGGCGAGAGACTGCTCTTCGGGTCTGGTGGACCCTGTTTCAGCTTGACCATGAGATATCGAGATATCGCGGTCGACCGTGCGCCATCGACGCTGCAGATATTCACCGGAGGATGCCATCGGAAATGGTACTTCTGCGTGCATGCCATAGAGACTAAGAGGGACTGACGATATTGCAGGCACTGAACACCGGGATCCATATTCCATTCAGCTATACTGAGTCCTCAATTGCCCTTAGTTTCCTCGAAAGACAAGCTTCTGACAGATTCAGTAAGAGTGCAAAGAACGGCGAGCTCAACCCTTCTTATCAGGAGCTCCGTGGTGTGGTTCAATCTCTGGAAAGTTGGTACAACGCGCTGCCTTCGTACATCCACTGGGATATTCCACTCGCGCCGCCTCATCGCCGGCCGATCTGCGAACTGCACCTGCGGTACTGGAGCACGATGATCGCATCGACACGGACGTGCCTTCTTTACAGCATCGTCCACAACAGTTCCGATACGTCTTCCGGGACGGAGAAAGAAGCGCTGGCTGAATTAGGGCAGAAGTGCATCGAGGCCTGTGACCAGTCCCTGCAGATCCTCAAGATGCTCCACTCGCAAGGTCTCCTGTCCAGTCTGACGGTGCAGGACACAAAATGGATCGTCGACATCGCCATGCTGTCGATCCTGCTCATGCTGCGAGGAGGGGAGAAGTCCTCTGCCTGCCAACAACGGTTGAAAGAGTGCGTCGAGATGCTGCAGTCGATGGAGAGTCGGGGGTGGTGCAAATGGGCCAGCCGGGAACTTGCCACGGTGATTGCGAGTCCAAATCTGGGGATTGACAGGCATGCTTTTCTGTCGATGACCGTCGATAGACAGTCAGGCCTCCAGGAATTTCAGTACGTATTCCCATGTTGTCGTTCCCCTGAGCTTCTGGGTCAGTGCGAGTTCTAATTCGTTTAGATCGGTGCTTTCTGAAGAAGACGAAGCTCAAGACGTGTTTTCGCTGTCCATGGACGGAATCATTGATTTTGATGGACATGTTTTCCATTGAAGACACGGCACATATCTATTTTTTTTCGACTTTAAAGGAGTTCAATTCGAGTGTACAATCTCAGTCGAGACTATGCACTGTAAGTGCATACATTTGTGTACTGTATGCATTTCTAGCCCAGCCCGTTTACCAATCACCCATCACCTATTTGCATCCTGCATCCACCTGTTAAACGCTTAAATCGTGAAATGCACTCTTTCTGTCTGGACTCCCCACTGTTGGAAAAGAGACGAGACGAGACGTGGGGCTCGTCAACGAGAAGACTACATACCCTACCTAGTTTGGCTATACAAAAGATCGGCAATATCGATCCGAGAGAACTACCGAGTTAACCGTTGCTATTATTGGCAGTACACCGTATCTACAGTTGCCATTCTGTTTCTGGCAGTGCGGGGAAGATAAGTCCATATATTTCAAATCTGTAAATTGCTCATTGCTTGGAAATCCATAACGGAGAGCATTATGGTCAAGACTTGGCTGCTCTACGTCTGATCGGCAGAGTAAAACCGACGATTTCTTTATCCAAGGTGATATCTTCGATGTCGAGATGATCGATGAGCTCGGATCATACACAGAGATCTTTAGACAAAACCTATGCAGACTTGTGTTCTAGATTAATTGCGTATCTGGCTGAGATGGCCCACATCCTAGACAGAGCCCCCGTGTACGTCAACGGGAAGAAAGCCTCCGAACAGGTGCTCTTCCCCCAAACGCCCGTCTTCACGGGCTTCCGGCGGCCTGTCCGCCTCGAGGGCGACATCTTCGACCTCGAGGTCGAGGGCGAGATCCCGCGCGAGATCGCAGGCACGTTCTACCGCGTGCAGCCGGACCATCGCTTCCCGCCCATGTTCGAGGAGGACATACAGTTCAGCGGCGACGGCAACATCACCGCCATCCGGATCGAGAACGGCCACGCCGACTTCAAGCAGCGCTACGTGCAGACGGACCGGTTCAAGGCCGAGACGGCGGCGCGCAGGGCCCTCTTTGGGAAATACCGCAACCCGTACACCGACAGCGAGGCCGTCAAGGGCGTCATCCGCACCGTGGCCAACACCAACATCATCTTCTGGCGAGGCACGCTCCTCGCGCTGAAGGAGGATGGGCCCCCCTTCGCCATGGACCCCAAGACGCTGGAGACGATCGGGCGCTATGACTTTGAGGGCCAGATCCTGACCCCGACGTTCACGGCACATCCCAAGTTCGACCCGGACACGGGCGAGATGGTCGCCTTTGCGTACGAGGCCGGTGGAAACGGCCTCGACGCCTCCTGCGACATCGTCGTGTGGACGATCGACAAGGACGGCCGCAAGACGGAGGAGTGCTGGTACAAGGCCCCCTTCTGCGGCATGATCCACGACTGCTCCATCACCAAGAACTACGTGATCCTCCCGCTCACGCCCATCAAGTGCAACCTGGACCGTCTGCGAGAGGGAGGAAACCACTTCGCCTGGGATCCCCACGAGAACCAGCTGTACGGCATCGTGCCGCGCCGCAACGGCAAGCCAGAGGATATCCGCTGGTACCGGGGGCCTAATGGCTTCCACGGCCACTTCGCAGGCAGCTACGAGGATGAAGACGGCAACATCGTCGCCGACCTGACTGTCGCCACGGGGAACGTGTTCTTCTGGTTCCCACCAGACCCCAAAGTCACCCCGGAGGCGTCATCAGCGTCATACGCGCCCCCGAAGCGCAACGAGCTCAAGTCGCCGACCACTCGCTGGGTCTTCGATCCCAAAGCGCCGACAGACACCTTCGTCACCCCGCTGCGGGACCTCGACAACTCGGGCGAGTTCGCGCGCATCGACGAGCGGTTCATGGGGAAGCGGTACTCGCATTTCTGGCAGCTCCTCATTGACGGGACGCGGCCGTACGACGCGGAGAGATGCGGGCCTCCGCCGGGGGGTCTCTTCAACTGCCTGGGCCACTTCAACTGGGACGACGCAGACACGCGGGACATCTGGTTCGCGGGGCCGACGACCACGCTGCAGGAGCCGGTCTTCATCCCGAAGAAGACAGAAGACAGGGTCGAAGAAGGCGTTGGCTGGGTGATCTGCTTCGCGAACCGGATTGATGAGAACCGCAATGATATCCTCTTGTTTGAGGCCCTGAATATCGCGCAGGGTCCCATCGCGATCATCCGCCTGCCCATGAAGCTGGGGTTGGGCATCCACGGGAATTGGGTCGACCAGAGCGAGATCGAGGCGTTTGCAAAGCGTCGTTCTGTGGATGGTGATCTGGGGCCGTTGAAGACGGCCGAGCGGCCTTTGCTGTGGCAGCAGGATCCAGAGCTGTCTAAGTTTGATTAGTCGGAGAATTGAGTCCCTGCTTTATTTCCTGTTAAAATTGGAGTTTGTCAATGTAATATTGGAAGTATTTTCTCGGACGAGTTATGCAAGTTGTATGCACGTCAAGCTGTATGTTTGTGTCTAGCTATACATTTATGCCCGTGAGTATTGTACAGAGCCGTATGGAACGCAAGATGAGAAATCCAGTCTGACGTATTATTCCACACACAATTCCATGGCCTACCGTGGCAGCAGCAAACAAGCTGTCTAGATCACTTCTTCGTTCTGGGGAGACGTCCCTCGAGTCGCAGCTTTTCCTCCGGGCCGTCAGGGCCTTCGAAATGTCGCGCTTCGGTCATTCTATTTCAAATAATAAGTCAGAAAAGACAAAAATAAAAAAACAACAATGAACGCGACAGCTGGCGGCTTACCTCCCGCGAGCATCGTACTCTCCACCCTCTTCCGGAGGGATCTTCCTGCGAGCGCCTCCGCCGCCAGTCACCGACATCCCGTATCGCACCTCTGATCCGGGAAAATCCTTCTCGACGCGTTGATTGACGCCGGATTCATCGGCTGGTTGAGGTTCAGTTAGTGAGAGTCTGCATACAGTTATTGCGAACGGTGGCTGGACATACCGGACAGGCTTTTCCTCTCTGTGCCACGTTTCTTGTGGTGAGAGTTGAGCTCCTGCTGTGCTTTGAAGGCGATATTCGACATGCTGGCCGCTGGTAAGTGTGTTACATACAAGTATGTAGTTGATTCCTATCGAGTCACCTCCCTTCGATCAGGTGAAGCTCTCTCAACTGCTTGTAATTGAGCAGAAGATTGTCCCGCAGAGACGGTTCTTGCCTCATCCTACACTACATCATGGCTATGTCACCCCGCGGCGTGATACAGTAGCTGAGCCGAAGTTGTACCTAGTTGAAGATTTCATTCAAATGCCAGGGTTGTCCATTTGCATGTAGATCCAGTAGGTAATTCTCATTCACAACTTCACCTTCTGTCAGCCATTGCTAGTGCATCTGCTGTTTTGCGGTCGATCAAAGGGGTACTCGTTGGAGACAGGATGATCATGTCGAGCCCTAAGTGCATCCGAATACCAGTAAATAGGGTCCAGCCCTAGGGCAGGGGCGGCTCGGAACAACGTGGGTCCGTGTTGATGTCCCGCCGCTTCGGGCAAATGAAAGATACGGCGACGCGGGGAATGATTGTCTTGGGGAGCTACGATAATGCGTTTGCGCTTGCATCTTCACCACCTCGCTCAAACAACCTGCTGTCGGCAATTCACAAACAAGTCCCGTACAGCAGGCTTCGTCCCAAGCTTGAGACTTTCTCCCCTCGCCCTCTTCTATGGCATCAACAACATAGAACTCCCCCGTCCCTTTTGTGATCGAGCTGCCTGATCGAAGCTCGACAGCACCTGGCTAGCGACCTTTCCTGTCCACCATGGAGGGCGCTGTCGAGCTCCCCGGCGAGGCCAACCCGCTGACTCCCCATAACCTGTTCAACGCGCTGGTGGCAGCTGCAAGCTCGACACAGCAGCAGGTGCAGGTTGGTACCCAGCAACTGCAGCACTGGGAGAAACAGGAGGGCTATTATCCTCTGCTTCAGGTGAGGGTCTGCCTGCAGCACTAGAGGACGAGTACTGACAAAGATACAGGACATCTTCGTCGATTATTCCCTCCCGCTCGAAGTCCGCTACCTGTCCATCATCCAGCTCAAGAATGGCATCGACAAATACTGGCGCAAAACCGCTACAAAGTACGGCAGTCCCCTCACCCCAGCTCCAAGAATTGGCATGCTGACCAAAACAAAGTGCCATCAAAAAGGAGAGCAAGGATCGTATCAAGACCAGGGCCCTTGAGGCTGGTATCGTAGAGCCCGCACCGCTACTGGCCCTTCACAATGCGTTGATGATCGCAAAAATAATGCGCTACGAATTTCCTCAGGACTGGTACGTCAATGCAATGCCAGGTCGATGTAGTGACACTTCGCTCTAACAATTGCCTTTTCCTAGGCCGGATGCGATGTCCTCGCTCATCAATGCTCTCCGTTCCTCTGTCCAGCCCGGCGCAAATCCGCTCCAGTTGCCCCGGACGCTCCTTATCTTACTGCAAATAATCAAGGAATTGTCGACCGCACGGCTGCAACGGACCCGCGCCAATCTACAGTCTGTGACTCCGGAAATCTTTCAGATCTTAGGGGGCATATATGTCGAAAAGGTCAGCAGCTGGGGTACATCCTTGGAGCAGGGCAACGCCAGTGAAGGAGCGGTGCTCGAGCCCCTCGAGCAGAGTTTGATGTCCCTCAAGGTCCTCCGCCGTCTGGTCATCGCTGGCTTTGAACATCCAAACCGAGAGAAAGCGGTCCAGGGTTTCTGGGAGATGACCCATGCTCACTTCACCAAGTTCTACACCTTGGCCGAAGGAGCCACCGGTGTCTCGCCGACGATCAGAAAACTTCTTGAAAAGCACGTCGTGCAATTGTCAAAGCTACATGTCGAAATGGCCAAGTCGCATCCCCCGTCCTTTGCGTTGCTGCCTGGCTGTGTCTCGCTGGTGAAATCATACTGGTCGGTGGTTGTGAAGCTCGGCGAAATCTACGAGAACGAAAGTCCTGTCCAGAGCAGGCCCAGCGCCAGTGGTGACACGGAGCAAGAGACCAGTTTGATTGATCGGGTCGGACTGAAAGCGCTGCTCTTGATCAGAGCTTGCGCGAAGATGGCATTCAATCCTGCGCAGACCTTCAAATATCAGACACCACAGGACAAGGAAGAGAAGAAGGAATCGATTGAACTGATTAAATCCCAATTATTTACGCAGGATTTTGTGATCAACGTCATGGAGCTTCTGGTCACTCGATTCTTCCGGTTCCGGAAGACCGACTTCCAGGAGTGGGAAGAGGAGCCTGAAGAGTGGGAGAAAAAGGAGGAGGAGATCTCCGATGCGTGGGAGTTTTCCATTCGATCCTGCGCCGAAAAGCTGTTCCTTGATCTGGTGATCAATTTCAAAGAATTACTGGTTCCACGGCTCTTAAATGTCTTTTACAATTTTGCAAGTAAGTCAGGGTGCCTCTTGACGCCTCCTAACGTTTCTAATCGTTCGTAGATCCGCAAAACCGCGATGTCTTGCTCAAAGACTCGTTGTATTCTGCCATTGGATTGGCCGCGGCCAGCTTGGAGCAGCAGTTGGATCTTAAGGCATTCATAGAATCGACCCTTGTTCCCGAGGTCCAGATACAAGAACAAGGATACAATGTCTTGCGGAGGAGGATCGCCATCTTGCTGGGCCAGTGGATACCGGTCAAGCCAGAAGAGCTGAACCGAACCTCGGTTTACCAGATCTTTCAACATCTGCTGAACAAGCAGGATCCGATGAACGATCTGGTGGTTCGTATCACGGCGGGAAGACAGCTTAGGAATATCCTCGAACCGTTCGAATTCTCCCCTACATTATTCCTACCATACGCTACCCCTATCCTTCAAAACGTGATGACACTTATCCAAGAGGTCGAGCTCTCGGAGACTCGGATGGGATTACTGGAGACAGTCCGCGTTGCGGTGGTGAAGATGGAAGACCATGTATGTTCTTATTCAACGAACGTTTCGGTCAACAGTGCTGACCTTTGCCAGATCGCACCTTTTTCGGACCAGATCATGTCCCTACTGCCGCCGCTATGGGAGCAGTCTGGGGAGGAACATCTGATGAAGCAGGCTATCCTGACCCTGCTCTCATCGCTGATTAATGCGCTGAAGCAGGACTCGGTGAAGTACCACGCAGACATCCTGCCGCTGATCCGAAATTCGATAGAACCAGGTTCGGTAAGTTAACTATACTGTTTAGTACGACTTGTCGATCAGCTTCTAATTTCTTCTACCAGGAAACTCTTGTGTACCTCTTGGATGAAGCGCTCGAGCTCTGGTCCGCTATTATCTCTCAGACTCCGGCCCCTGCTTCTCCAGATCTTCTGTCCCTTCTGCCCGGTCTTTTTCCTATCCTCGAGGCCGCTACGGACAGCGCGCCGCTGGCTCTCCAGATTGCGGAGAGTTACATTCTCCTCGCTCCTCAGGAAGTGCTCAGCGACCAGATACGCTTCCGACTCCTTGTTTCGTTCGAATCGCTCCTCTCCGCCGTCACAAAGCAGCGCATCGGCGTCGTCCCGCATCTGGTGGAGATGCTGATCCGCGCGACCGAGACGATCGACGGGGGAAGCGAGAACTCCTACAACGTCATCGCAAAGTCCCTCATCGACAGCTCATTCCTGCCCTCGCTCTTAGACGGCCTTCACTCGGCCTACGAGTCCAGCCAGACGACGGGCCCGAAGAAGAAGACGTCTTCGGTCTACGGCGTCCTGGAGACGGACTACCTCAGCGTGCTGGCGCGACTCGCTCTGGGGAGCCCCCGAGTCTTCCTGTCGGCCATCTCCGCCGCGACGGGGACGTCCGCGGAGCAGACGCTGTCCTGGCTGCTGACGGAATGGTTCTTCCACTACGACAACATCGGGCTCGTGACGCAAAAGAAGCTCCACACGCTTGCCCTTACGCAACTGCTGGCCATCAACGGCTCCGACTCGCCGCCCCCAGCCTACCTCCTGAACCACCTCCAATCCTACCTCACGATCTGGACAGACATCGTCACCGAACTCGCCGAGGGGACGGGCGAAGACCCAAACGACCCACGAGCGGGCGACTACCTGATCTACTGGAACAACGAAACCAAAAACGCCGAAGGCGGCAGTGGCACGCAACCGCACCACGAGAACGAACCCCCGGAAACCACGCGCCGCCGCGACTGGGAAAACGCCGACATCGTGCACCGCATCAACATCCGCGACTTCATCAAGCAGCGCCTGCAGGCGGTGATCGTGGGCTGCGGCGGCGAGCAGCGGTTCCAGGAGGAGTGGCTCGTCAACGTCGATCGGGAGGTGACGAGTGCGTTTGGCGCGTTGGGGATTTTGTGAATATAAAAAATAAAAGTACCTACCTAGCTAGCCAGCCTTCTTTTCTTCCTCTACGGAGAAGAGTGAGTACTTGATATGATATGATATGACAGACATGACGTGACGTGAGATACGGGAAAAAAAAAAGAAAAAAGACAGAGAAAGAAATAAAAACTTGTCATGTCATCATCATCATCATGGTCGCTATCACTTCCATTGCCCATTGCCATTATCAATAGCAATAGCGATAGCAAAAGAAATAATATACCCTTCTTTTTTTCTTCTATCTAGAATAGATGAGCGTATGAGTAAGTGTACGTACGTAATACCAGTAATTAGCGTAGCAGGTTGTGAGTCAACTTCGGGTACAGATACTACGCAGGCAATAGAGTCATCAGAAATATAATAAATATTAGTATTACCAGAATGTAACCCGTATGCTATTAAACGAAGAGAAAAGAAAAAGAATGAAGAACCAAAAAAGAAACCAATGCTCATCATCACAGGCCTTTGCATGCTTAACCGCACTGTCCAGGGTACTGCCTCGCAGTCACAGGGTTAGGGAACACGCCGGCTTCCATCTGCGCCTTCATATCCCACTCCGGGGCGCCCTCGGTCCTCCACGTCCAGTACAGCCAACCCGTCTTCAGCTCGAACGCATCCATCTGCGCCTCGATAAATCGGCGAATGTTGGTCCTGTCTTCCTCCGACAAAGCCGTCACTGCACCCTGACTCTTCCCGTCGCAGCTGCCAATGTACGAGCTGCCCTGGTAAGTACCATCGTAGCGCGCGCCAATGCCACGGCCGTTGAGGTACTTGGCGCAGTCGGTCATGGCTCCCGTCCATTCACCCACAATCGTCCACTTGTCCGTGTTGACGAGCTTGCCCTTTCCAAACGAGCACGCAGTCTGGACATGCAGGTCAGGACTCATGGCCAGGAGACCGTTGTCAAAGACCTCGTAATGGTGGGTGTCCATCATCACGTTCCAGACCCCCGAAGTAGGCCCCATGAAGCCGTTCCACGAATCGACGTCCTGGAAACCGTCATGCAGGACCTCCACCGTGTCGTGGTTCTGGTCACGAATCCGTCCCCAGGTGTCATAGTAATACTGCTTCAGCACGTCAAGCTGCACCCCTTGGTCACCCAAGACGGTGAATGGTTCGTTGAGCGCCTCGATGGCTGTCACAACATCGGCGTGTTGTGCGTATCTTTCGGCCAGGGCCTGGATGGCGTCCAGGGTCTGGTTGACAGAGTTTGCTTGCTTCGACCACTCGATCGGACCCCGACGTCCACTGTTGTCAAACCCGTTCTGCGAACCGGGTGCTGCGGGTCTCTCAGCTCAATGCGTATTTGTGTTGTCGCCAGATTGAAAACTTACCTCCGTGCAGGTCGATGATCACCTTCAGGCCTGCCTCCCTGGCCCATCCGATGGCATTGTCGAGCACATCGAGTTGGCCTTGGACATAGGGCTCGCCCTCCAAGGGATTGACCGCCCAGTAGCCTACAGGAATGCGGACGTGGTTCATGCCGGCATTCTTGATCTGTTGGAAGTCATCGGCGGTGATCCAGCTGTTCCAATGGCTGGACAGGACGCTCTGCGCCTGATCCTTTCCCAGGATCTGGGTCAATGTGTATTCATCGATGGCGCCGTCGCCGCCCTGTTCGAAGATCGATGGAGTGATCCATGGTTCCAGAACCAGCCAGCCTCCCAGATTCACTCCACGAACTTTGTCGTTGTTGTAGTCGAAGGTGAGGTCACGCGACTGGAGACGGCTGGAACAGACAAAGGATGAGCCATGAGAATGTGCAAGACGAAAAGACAAAGGATCGCATGTGGTCGTTCAAGAAGCAGAAGCGGGAGCAATCTTACATTGAAGCAGCCTGCACCAGAGTTGCCCAGCCGGCGAGGGCAAGTAGCGCTGTGTTCTGAATCTTGGAGAACATGTTGAGATCTCACCGTTGATCACTCTATGACCGGGTGGCTGGATTGCAACAGCTCGCAAAGCAGAAGAGAGACGCGACACGAGGATCGCCCGATATATAAATAGACGATAGTCGATGCTCTCGGAAGCAAGCGACGGGCTGCAGGCCCGGAAGAGGATGAAATGGACCTCGCGGGAGGAGAGGTCTGGACCAGAACAGGGGCTCCTGCGCTGCTATAAACAGAGCACACAGCAAGAATTGTGCTCGAGAGAACAGCAGGCCAGTCTGCTTGCCGATCTCAGCGATCTGAATCCGGTCGGTAGGCGGCCGCGAACGAAGGCCGGCGGGAGAAGGGGAGAAGGAAGGTGCTGCAGATGGAAAGAGCCAGGACGGAGGAGCGCGCCTTATTTGAAGCAAGAAGCAAGACTCCGCACGAGTCTGGCTGCGTCGTCGAGCGACTCTTCCCGACGCGGTTCCATGGCGCTGCGCGTCCGGTTCAGGAACAACAAGCGACATGGGGTCAGGCACTGGAATGCGGACATTGCTCGCCGTGAAGCCTGTGATGTTGCGGTCAATGCCAGAGCGCCCCACCGGAGGATCCGGGCGAGGATGCCAAATCCACGGCTACCTGTAATAATTGGCTGCAAGGACTGCCTGCAGATGGACAGAATCCTCACATTTTGAGGTTAATCGTCCGCAAGAGCGTACATGTGGACGGTCACTTGATCTGTATTCTGCACAAGAGCACTGTGGTGAAGCCTTGGCCACAGATCTCTGTCGAGTGGAGGAAGCCTCCGCACCAGTCGAATTGCTGGTGGACGTCTTGGCAGCTCGTCGATCTCGCCGTTCTCGCCCTTGCTCGACCGTGCGACGCTGTAATTGTTCTGTTTCGCCGCTGCCACGTGTGGGCTCGGTCCTCCTTGCTTGTATCTATTGAGTCTGTACGGCCAGTCTGGGTGCGCCACGGAAGCTTCCCATCGAGCAAGCTTCGCTGGTCGATCAATCTTAACCGGTCATCAGTGCAGATCAATTCATTCGGCATAGAAATAACGCCGTGGCTGGCCAATTTTGTGCTGTTATTCTGCCAGCCAGTTGCTAGTCCTGGCGTGTGAGTACACCGCATTTAATGCTGTACACATGAGGCAGCTCTTTCCACGGCTCTGACGAGGGACCTGGACCATGAGCCAGAAAATGCATTCATCTGGATGCGGGGAGATGCGGTTCACGGTTAAGCCCTGTGGGCCGTGGCGTTGGACGGGAACGGAAGCGGAAAGGGAAAAGCTGGCCGGAAACAAACAAACAAATAAATCAAGGACCATTGCCTCGATGCAGCAACACCACAACAGTAAATGATTATCGCATCCGGTCTGCTGTCTTATTTTTTGCCATAGTATTCAGACTTTAGCGAAGGATTACCCCGCAGGATTTGGTATTGCACTGGCGTAACTTAGTAGTATAGTGAATTGTTGAAGCAATCCATACATGTACCCGTACTATACGGAGTACCTACTGTGGCGTCTTTTCCCACTGTATATTGGCAGACGGTACTGCAGAAGAGAGGGGAAAACGGAATCTCCTCCAGTACTGCATGCAGAACCCCAGAATGATCCATTATAATCCATTGCATGGCTACCTGCCTAACCTCGCGCTGTAGCTGGATACACGTGACCATCTCACATATGTACTGTACCCTACTGATTCCAAAGGATATACTGAAGTTGGCCATAGTCCAATATAAAGGAAATAATAAATACTACCTCAGATGCGACGGTAAGTATGGACAAAAAAAAGCTGGAACAAGAGAGTTCGAGAAGAACCCATAGACCTGTCGTCCGGTTAGACTCATATCTACATATATACATGCACCCAGTCCATTAGCTAATAGCTTAAGATATCTGCATGCGAGAGGTGTAGCAAATCGGCATAGATTGGATTCGTCTTGTTGTACTGCGTATCACATGACAAGCAATTGAGGAGGGGTTTAAGGTTATTTTGTGTTGGGAGGTGAGCGCTGCCAACCAATAGAATGCATTCAATGAAGTACGTGTACAGGGAAGTACCTACCTAGGTAAGTATACCTATTCGCAGCGATATTTACCACTATTGGCGAATTATTGAAAGGAAGATTTACTTAAAGTTGTGCCCGCTGATTAATAATGAATCAATTGGGCCTGTGCGCCGTGTCATGCAATCAATTCAAACCCAAATTTGAATCCCTCGAAAGATCGATCGATCGATGGCACGAGGGCACCTGAGTACTGTACAGTACTCCGCACGTACTGTAGAAAGAGAGTGCAGAAATTTAAAAGTACATACATTACATAATACTACTGTGCTTATAAATAAGGCTGCCTAGTGAAATACAAGAATAATAAGTCCCACGAGTACAAACACACTCGCTGGTTACTTCAATTCACGTTCCGGCATTAATACTGGTTTCTGCTCTCTCCAATTCCATTACTTGGCCCTGGATAGACTTGTCTTCGTCATGCAATTATTTTTTTGTTCTCAAAACTCGCAAGTTTAAGCTATGAACAACGTGGGTGGCTGTAGTCAACGGGCAAAGAGCAAAAAAGTGTTGCAGATGTCTCCTGATCCGGATCAGATCACGCCACTTCCAACACACGCGTTTTACAACACGCGAAGCTTATTACATTGATAACTACCTACCTAACGGTTCCGTCGGATCCTTCTGTCAGATCTATGGAATTAAATCAGGCACTGTGCTGCTGTATTTAGCTACATAAATCCTCATTCTTTGTTTCAGGCCGTCCACGTGACTTCTCACCTGATCCCTTGTTGGAGTAAGAGTGGCATGATCCTCGAGATATCTTGGATTCAAAGTCTCTCTCGTACGATCATGTCAGCAACACATAATATAAGCCGGAGGCATTATGGCGTTGCCATCTCATGGATATGACCATTGTCCTCCTGTTGAATTGACTTGGCTCAATCCAGACGTTTCCAGAGAATAATATCTTAAAAGGAATAATCCTCATGTCTTGGCAGCGTCCAATTCAGCATGTCGATCGAAAAGACCTCTACACAAATCTCGAGGCTCGAATCCAGTATCTGCATACCTTTCTCGACTTCAGCTCAAGTACGTCTTGTGTCCTGTTTTTGTCCATACTGGATCAGTGTTTTGACCAGGTTACTAACGACCATCTAGGAGACATCGAGGCCCTCATCACCGGCTCCAAATACATCAAGGCGTTGATCCCTGCCGTCGTCAATGTCGTGTACAAGAAGCTGCTCCAATATGACATCACCGCCAGAGCGTTCCAGACAAGGAGCACCAGTTTCGAGGGTCCCCTGGACGAGTTCCCGGACGAGAACAGTCCCCAGATCATGCATCGCAAGATGTTCCTGAGAGGGTATTTGAACCGATTGTGTTCGGACCCCAGCCAGATGGAATTCTGGGAGTATCTCGACAAGGTTGGGTGAGTTTCACTCGCTCTCGCTCTCGCTCTCAGCAATAATACTGTGTGAGAAGCGATCTGTCTTGCAAATTCAGTACAGTACACTCATGATCTCCACTGTTGATATTGCAGGATGATGCACGTCGGTCGCGGACGAGAACACCCCCTGCACGTCGAATACATCCACATTGGCGCCTGTCTGTCCTTCATCCAGGACGTCTTCACGGAAGCCATCCTCTCGCATCCGCGCCTCGATCTCTCCCGCAAGATCGCACTCGTCAAGGCGCTTGGGAAAGTCATCTGGATCCAGAACGACCTCTTTGCCAAGTGGTATGTGCGAGATGGGCAGGAGTACGCCGATGAACGACGGGACCAGCAGGTCGTGGTCGAAAGGGAGGGCTATCTGCACGGAAAGAAGATCATTCACGAAGACAATGATCCAGATCCAAGCCCGGAAGGCTCATCATCAGACACACAGACACCTTCAACCGGCGAAGCACGTGGCTCGTGTCCCTTCTCGGGCATGACAGTCGCCGCAGTCACCACGCCCAAGGACTCGGAAAAGGAACAGCAAGAAGCAATCACCACGAAGGAGATCAATGCTGTGTAACGTAGGTAGTCATGGAAATTCCGACACACTGGAATTGTCCAAGCTGCACAGGCTGTATGTAGTACAGCCCACTCTATCGGAATAACCCCTGGAGGCAGAATTCCGGCAGGATAGGCCCATAGGGCTTACCAGCATCGACAATGCCGGGAAAGATACCCGAAACGAGGCTAAAAAGAACGCTAAGATATTGATGTTAGAACTGTGGAGGATTGTTGTGGAGACTGTGATCGATGCGATCGATCAAGTGGAGGATGTGTGGACATTTATTGATTGTCCTTGTAGAGCCGATACTACTACTAACTACTACTACTAACGAAGGTTATTCTTTCAGCCTTATTATTATTCTCAAGCAAAAAGCCAAATTCGTATAGGAATATTATTGCTACCCTCAGGTCCCTCACGTTGCGGCTTAATGCAGCGGAACATGCCCGCTAAGAGGCTTGTTTGCGAATAATGTGGAAAGACGCCAACTACCTATTTAACAAGTGTGCAAGATCTTCGTGTTCGGGACTCAAAAACATAAATAAAGCAGGTTGAGGCTAGTCAAATAAGATGTACAGTTTGTGGCCGGTACCTCCGGGGATAAATCCCGTCCTTGAGGCAGACGTCGGGATTTGATTCTCTCTGCATACCCAAGACGCACATGTGTTGTTGATTCGGCACTCCAAGCACATCACGCTGCCGATGGGCTCATACAACCGGGGTAGGTCCCGGCAATGGACGTCTTTCTCAGTCGTGAATAACAATGCTGACATCTACACTAGGATTCTGTCGTGTCTGGGATCCCTGGGCAGCTCCCCTCAAAGCGCAATTCTGCAGACGCCAAGCACGGTCCAATCGTCCGGCTCGCGCAATCGGCAAGTGCACTGGCCCTGAAGCCCGGTGGTGATGAGGGGTATTTCGGACACGATAGCGGCTGACCTAGCTAAATATTTATCCACAAGGGTTCATGACACCCTAGTGCGCCCGAAGCTGAGTGGAGAGAAGCCGTATTGCCTGCAGGCGGCCTGTCAATAATCAGCTTAGTGACCTGCCAAGCTGAAGAAATGTCTGTCCGGCAAGGATCCGCCGATCCCACACGTCTGGCCCCGCAGACTCGTGTTTCGTCAGACCGCTGTACCTGCGCCTGCTTGCGTAGGTGGCACCAGAGATGTCTCCGCGGCACTCGATCTGCCAGGCTTCATCTGTCGCATGGTGGACCAGATCGGCCGGATGGGAAGGATATTGAGACAGATCATGGCGCGTCGATTGTGATAGAGGTCAATGCCTCCGAAGCTTCCAGGTCTAAAGCGATAGAGCGTTAGCTATCGTCGCCGGTCGACCACATGGCGGGGCTCTCTCCAATCGCCTCAAAAAGAAGGCCTTCTTGCGACGAATCGCGAGCTTCCCCGCCGACACCACGGCCGTCAGTCCTCCATCCGGTGGGGGAGCAGAAGCCCCGAAAGCCATGACCCACCCGTCAATGCCCCTGAGGTCTGCAGCCAGGGAAGCCGGATATACCACAGAGCAGCCGCGCAACGTGCCCGCGTCCCAGCCCCTCGATGAAGATGCGAAACTCGTTAAGCTCCAGCGGGTGGCACCCGGCGATAATACAAAGCCCTCCCCATCCCGGATAGAATGCTCCATACTTAACTTTCTATCAGATTGTTCCCGGTCGTGTACCGTTCCGGCCCAGTGCCAGTGACAAGAAGACGATTGAATCCATTCTATTTCCCATTCTATACCTAGGTTCCTAGCTACCACTTGTCGCTGTCGGTGATTGATCTGGCGACGGCTGCCGACGAGTAATGGCCATCACTCCTGTCAACGGCAGTAACGGGACGGACTCCTCCGTCGTGCCTCTCATCATCGGCGGCAAGGATGTCCAGACGACGACCACCTTCGACGTGGTCAGCCCGGTCTCCGGCAAGGTTCTCCATCAGAGTAGCAGCGCATCAGTCGACGATGCCAACCGGGCCGCGGAGGCTGCCCAGGCAGCGTTCCAGGTCTGGTCGAAGATGAATCCCATCGCTCGTCGGGATCTTCTGTTGAAGGCGGCAAGCATCATGGAATCACGCAAGGAAGAGCTCGTCGGATACCAGATTGAAGAGACGGGTGCCCCCAGGATGTTTGCCGAGTTTACCTTTGCTCTGGGTCTGGGCATTCTGAAAGACTTCGCGGGGCGGTCTCTGTCCCTGGAAGGCACAGTGCCATCTGTGATGGACAATGGTCAGAGTGCGATAGTGGTCAAGGAGCCTTATGGCGTGATCTTGGGAATTGCTCCATGGTATGTGCATACAAGAAAGACATGGCCCGTTCAAGGATACTGACACATGTGGATTTCCTCCAGGAACGCTCCTCTGGTTTTGGGCTCTCGAGCAATTGCCATTCCTCTCGCCGCCGGCAATACGACTATCCTCAAGGGTTCGGAATTCTGCCCAAAGACCTTTTGGGCCCTGGGCGACATTTATCGGCAGGCGGGTCTTCCCGAAGGAGCCGTCAACGTCCTCTATCACCGGCCATCCGATGCTGCGGAGGTTACCACCGCTTTGATTGCTCACCCGGCCGTCAGGAAGATCAACTTCACGGGCAGTAGCCACGTCGGTTCGATCATCGCCTCCACGGCGGGCAAGTACATCAAGCCGGTGCTGCTTGAGCTTGGTGGAAAGGCATCCGCGATTGTCCTGGATGACGCGGATCTGGAAAAAGCAGCTGTATCGGCTGTCAGGGGCGCCTTCTTCCACGTCAGTATCTCCCTACCACCAGTTTGCACAATGTGAGCTTACTGAAGCTTCTGTAGGCGGGCCAAGTCTGTATGTCTACGGAACGAATCGTCGTTCAACGGTCCATTGCGGACAAGTTCCGCAAAGTTCTAGTCGAGGCAGCCGAGAGAGAGTTTGGCAAGGAAACCCCGGCACCTGTCCTGGTGTCACCTGCTCCTGTGGACAAGAACAGGAAGCTGGTTGCGGATGCCGTCTCGAAGGGCGCCTATGTGCTGTTTGGTGATCCGAACGCTCGGGAGCAGGCTGCTACGAGCTTGCGGCCTCTGATTGTGGAGAATGTCACCAAGGATATGGACTTGTACTCCACCGAATCGTTCGGGCCTTCCGTGTCGTTGTTTGTGGTTGACACCGAGGAAGAGGCGATCGCACTCGCCAATGACACCGAATATGGTCTGACGGCTGCTGTGTTTACTGAAGATCTGCGCCGCGGCCTGCGCGTCGCGAGACAGATTGAGAGCGGGTATGCTACACAGATGTCCCGAAACCATCTTCATCAAATGTTTCCTTTTTCTGTTTCCAGCTGACTCTTCTCCTTTAGTGCCGTGCACATCAACAGTCTTACCATCCAGGATGAGTCGACTTTGCCTCACGGAGGTTACAAAGCGAGCGGCTACGGTCGGTTCGGCGGCTGTGTTGGCTTCGACGAATTTGTGCAAACCAAGACGATCACCTGGATGGATTAAATTCCGGCAGTGTCTGCCGGTGCCGGTCCTATAATGGCTGTATGAAAAGGCCGTCGAAACATGAGCGTTATGCTAGTCTAGTTGGGATGTCACACGCTTGCTTGTACTGTACATATCATATATATCATATATATTCCCAGGAGGTGCTTGAGTGGCTGATCATCTGCGATTTTTTTTCGAAACGAGAATGATACCAGGAGGTATTCTGAAGAACCAGCTGGATTTCTGGCAAAATGAAGATCATTTCTTTGTCCTTGCTTTTGAAGTTGGAGACAATATATCGGACAGTAGTCCACACTCAAAACACACGCACTCGCATGCTGTGACTGGGCCGGTCATTGTGCATTTATGAGCTCTGTGCTGTCATAAACAACATTGTCCAAAAAGGAACGAGAAGAGAAGAACGAAAGTGAGTAGAGAAAAAGGAGATCATTGGGAAAGAGGGGTGAGAGGGACTTCATTCTGGAGTGCAGAGGTGCGTGTCCGTGTCGTATTGGGAACTGCCGCAGGCCACGCCTTCCCAGGTTGTTCCGAATCCGCCCCTCCTTCTTATGTAAGTTCACAGGCCACTCAACCTGTGGCGGTGCGTGTTGATACGGAATTAAGATCTTCTTCGATCGTCGGTCGATCCCTGGCAACAGTTTCCACAGCCGGCAACGATTGGAGACTTGTCAGCGTCATCCTCGGCTGGCAAGAAACCTACGGTGTACAGTACAGTACAGTACGGATTATTACTTCAATGCCATGTCGGTGAGCTGTGATCAAGGGTCTCCCACAGTCATCAAAGTCCCCAGTTCTCAATATTAATAACAATGCTTGGACGTATTGGGTCTCTAACGTCTGCAGTTCGTTGCTCATCTAGGTGAACTGTGCCCGTCCCGCTCTTTGACCGGTCCGCGATTTACAATACCCCTGACTTCGGAGGGGCGAGTCTGACTGTTGGACCGTACTGCCGAATACGACGGTCGGATAAGAATATCCCAAAAATAAACATGGAGCTTTCTTTATATAAACATGCGCCCTTCTGGAACAGTATGAGGTATTCGGTATTACCAGGCACTCCGTGCTGTGGTTATTCAGTGTTCAAGACTCCAGTCTTCTGACGATAGGCACTGGGCTTATCGTGAGTGAAACATTGAGTCGGCGACTCGGCGATAGCTATCTCTGACGTACACCGAACGTCGTTCGCAATTAAACTAAGCAGCAAGGTCTTGCTAAGTCGCCCAAACGCTATCCAATCACGATCCACCTGGAAATTTCGCGTCAGCGTCGGACTTCCAACATTGTGCTATGGAATACCGAAGTACTCTGTACAGGCTTGCGGCTATCCATATTCTATCGCCATTCTCAGCCCTGGCGATAAAGGAATGTTGCGGTGTTCCAGGCCCATGGCTCTTTTATCATGAATTACGGTAATACTCCATTCCAGTCATGGCAGAGTCAAGCCACCTCATCTCCGCAGGTTCGCGGAACGGCGACGCATCCGTGGATGCCTCCAACCTTAGGGCTGTTTCTGAGCCGTTAAGGCACCCAACGACAGCAGGAGGACACTGTTTAATTGCCCTAAGGGGACTAGTCAGGCACGAGCGCAACTCTGCTATACGCTCCTACTCCACCTGGCAAGTCCGTGAACACCGCAACAGTGACATCGGCCCAACCCTAGAAATTTACTAAAAATGGCCGCCTACCATCCTTGCCAATGAGCAAACTCCTCGCTGAGGTCAAGTCAGATGGATCATAAACTAAAATGGCATTTCTCCGCAGGCCTTCGAATGCGGGTTTCTCTCTGGGTAATTGCGCATTAACTCGAAACAAGGCCCGTCCGCTACTGCTGAGCAGCCCTCTCATAGGTTCGACGCTGCAAGATGGCATTACAGACGAGAATGGCCCTAAGCAAGCAACTCCAGCGACTGTGCGCTTGGTCCGCTTGGCAGAGAGCCACAAGGGGGCTGAGTCTGATGCGTGGGTTGTGTTTTCTTTTAATACTTTGGGGGTTCTCCTTTCTCTCCTCTTCCCTTCTCTATCACACTCTGGTCAGAACATCACGTCGCAGCTGTGAACTCCCACTGCAGTCACTCTTTTTTTATTTGGAGTCAAACTTTGGCTCGTGTCGCTCCTTGAACCAATCCATTCATTCCCATTCGACTTCGTTTTACTGTTTATTACGACACATATTTGAAGATGCGTTTCTTCACTGCTTCTCTCTCCACTGCCCTGGCGGCGCTTGCCTCCGCCTACACGCAGCCCGACTACTCGAAGCCTCCGACGGGCAACCCTATCTATACGCCTGGCCTGAACCAGCAGGTGCCCGTGGGCAGCCCCTTTGAAATCACCTGGCAACCTACCACTCCGGGAACCGTCTCCCTGGTGCTGCTGCGTGGTCCCAGCACCAACGTGGTGCCCCTCTACGCGATCGCTGAGAACATCCCCAACACCGGCAAATTCTCCTGGACTCCTTCGACCCAGCTGCAGAATGACGTGACCCACTACGGTCTGCTCCTGGTTGACGACGCCACCGGCCAGTACCAGTACTCGACCCAGTTCGGCATCAAGAACCCCGGCTCTGGTGCTGCCCCATCTGCGACCACTGTCGATGTTGAGGAGACCACCACCATCTGCCCGGAGACTGAGAGCCCGACTGCTGCCCCGACGCCATCTGAGACGACCGTTGAAATCGAGGAGACCACCACCTTCTGCCCGGAGTCGGCGACTGCTACTCCTTCCCCGCAGCCAGTGGTGACTACTCCCTCCTCGTCTGCTGTCTCGACGCCGGCGGTTACCGCTACCCTGACGCCGGCGACCCCGACGCCCTCTGCGACGACTGTTGAGATTGAGGAGACGACTACTTTCTGCCCGGAGTCGGAGACGGCGACTGCGTCCCGCGGCGTCTACCCCGTTGGCACTGGTAACGCTTCCGTCCCGATTGTGTCTCCTACCAAGACGCCCTACGTGCCCACCACCCTCAGACCGGTGGTCACCGGCACTGGCTCTGCCGTCCCGCCGAAGTTCACCGGCGCTGCGGACCGCAACATGGTCAGCTTCGGTGGTGTGGCCGCCGTTGCCGGTGTGGCCGCTCTCCTGGCCTTCTAAGAAGGCAGCCTTTTTTTCGCTTCGTTCATTCTTAATTTCTTCCCTTCTTTTGTTTTTATTGCCTCCCGCGTCGCGTCCTAATGAGATGGGTTAATGTACGCAGTTTTCTGTTGCTTTCTTTTATTCAATCTAAGAGAGAGATTATATACTACGATTACGTACGTGCATCGATATCCTCAATGTATATTTACGGACCACACAGTATATGCCAAGGTACACGAAAAGAAGGGTATCACTACGATCGTGTATATATCTCTATCTTTGTACAGTACATACGTACATACGTGCATTACCCAGACTTGACTAGTAGTTAGGTCGGACCGAGCTTAATTGATTTCTTCAGTGTATATATATACACGTATGTATCTATATGAGGACTAGTTTTGAGTTAGACTTGAGAGTGCTTGGTCGAGAATATTCAAAAGACAACAAACAATAAATGAATGCTCTCCTGTTTGCGTATCATCGTCATCATCAGTATTATTACTAATTGTTATTATTAATACTATATACATGTAATGCTCATTCGTCTGTCATGTCATTGTATCGTTAGTGTTTATTATGTTATCAGAAACATAATAGGTCTGCGTGGTGGTATCCAAAATGGGTGGGTTTCGCACACAGACTGCATCATACGAATAGTGTGAGATGAAGCTGGCCCCATGCATTCATTCATTTATTCAATTCCATTCCAGGCCAGGCCAGATGGAAGATACAGAAACAAAACATTAGTTTATTAGACTTCATCAACCTGTGGGTGAGTGAGAAGAAAGTCCTCCACTGTCATGACGCGCGCGCGTCCATATACTTGTATGAGCTTGGCGGACCCGTATCGTTGACAGCGGCAGAAGAGCCACTGATGTTGCTCGACTCGTCTGCACAGCATTTCTCGCGATCGTCAGGCTGGTTTGGAATCTGTGTCTCTAACAGGGCTACTACATGGCGGGCCTTCTTCGTTTGCATATGCTCGATCTGGGGGATCACCTTCCAGGAGTGACCCCGGACCGTGCCTGATAGCCAGACCGATGGCAACCACCAGAGCGACAGAAAACTTTGCCCATAGACACAGGCTGTGGCCGAGAGTAGTGCTTCCATGCGCAGGACGATCTCCAGAGGAAACTGAGCCAATCTCGGGTTCTTTCTGCTGTGCTGCTGGTTGTAGACATGTGGGATCACACGACGCTGAGTGAAGGCCCTCATCACTGACACCGGAATGGGCGCCTTCCTCAGCACCCGCCGAGCGTCGATGCCGCTCGTCATTGTCCGCTGCCAGGATCGACGGCGTCCTCTTGAACCAGGCGCTTCGTGTCTGGGAACCTATCACCAGGCCAAGAACCCACCAAGACAGCTTCCCAAACTGTCTCTTGTTCCTGTTCCAAACGGTCGCTATGATCCTGCGCGCCAACGCGCCAAAGCGACTCTTGAATCCTTTAAAACGATCACAGAAGTTGAATAGAATCTCCGCGGCCTGGCCGACAATCCCTGGAGTCGATGATGCTTGGTACGCATTTGACGATTTGCATTCTCTGGTGCTTGTCTTGGGCACCTTATTATCACTCCGCAGTTTGTGATTCTCAATCCTGGTCCGCGCGCTCATAGGAGTCCTTGTATCGTCGGTTGACTCCATATCTGGGGAACGAGATTGCTTCTCCATGGACTCTGTCACCGGGTAAGGTAGAATATCTATATCTCCACCTGGAGAGAAACACGTCAAAGATCCATCATCAAGCCCTGCGTCTGGCCGCAGACTGGAGTATCCGCCGTTCGAACACGAATTTTCATGTGCGATAATATCTGATAATCTCTCCCCATGTTTCAAAATGGCTTCATCAAATGTGGTGTAATGATCGGTACGGCCCTCCAACGCAGCCAGTGTCTCTTCCTGTGCCACGGAGTGGGCAGAGTCGCCCGTCTCCTCTTCTGGGCCTCCGTCGATTTGTGTAGGATCAAAAGAGGCGGGAGAACGCTCAAAGTCCGGATATAGAGACTGCTGCGGAGGGCAGTCAGATGCTTGTGCGGTAGCAGCAGGCAGGATCAATGGCTTCAGTGTGCACGTCCCTGAGGGGAATCGGCGCATGCTCCTATGGCGACTCTGCGTCTTTCCATGAAAATCCCCAGAAAACGGAAATGGTAAGCTCCATTGCGATGACACTGATGAGAACTGTGACATGGCTGACGACCGCTGCGACTTCGACGCTGACGAGGAAGACACAGTTGATGTATCGAAGTCTAATTCTGGAACACTGTCGGCTTGGACAGGTTGCGAATCGCTCTGCCGGGGCTTGTTGCTGTTCAATTCGGCTGCAAGCTCGTGCAGCGGACTTTGGCTATGCACCTCGTCTGCGTCAGGTACAATCATAGGTTGAAACAAGCTCTCTCCCCGAGTCAACTGGATAGACGGGACCATTGATCTTGGTCGAGCTAGTCTCGGGCCAGGACTGCGCGAAGGAGACACCGCATCCGATCCGCGTATCGGGCTCCGTGGGGTCTCAACTCTGGCAGGCGACTGCGCGAGAAGCTCCGTCAAGACGTCGATGCGTCTTTCCAAGCTGCGATTCGTCGATTTCAAAGATTCTGCATCGCGTAATTTCTGCGCTTGGATCTCCTTTTCGTATTCGAGTTCCTTAATGCGGCAAGAATCCAGCTCGACCTGGTTCTCCAAGACGCGAATCCGGGCTCTCAATTTGTTTTCAACCTCCGTTCTAGCAGCGATTTCCTCCTTGATCCGGGCCTCGAACTTGCTCTCCCATTCTGCGATTTCCTGCTTCAGCACCTTGATCTCGGCGTTCAGTGACCTCAGTTTGGAGGCCTGAGGTCTGGCGGATGGCGACTGCATTGGGCTCAATTGGCTCTGGGCAGCAGCTAACTGGGTCTCCAGGTGTTCAATATATCGTCTTGTCTCGTAGCTGGACTTTCGCGTCCGGCTGTCTCTCTTGCGTACTTCAAGTTGGTCGCGCAGTGAGAGGGGCGAGCTTCCCGGAAGAGACTGATCCCGTGATATCACCACAGACTCCGCATCACTGTCGTCGTCGCTGATTGAGGGTGAAGAAAGAATCGAGGATCGCAAAACGGGGGACTGCGGGGAGGACAGGAAATGGCTGTGGCCTGTGTCTTCTGGTGAACTGCGAAACAGTGAAGAAACTGACGAACGGCGAGACTGTTGACCTCGACAGGACGAATTATGGATCTCTTGCAGCACGTTCACCTTCCTTCGCACCGAACCGGTCTCTCGAGGGCTGTCACTTTCTGTTGGTGACGCTGGCTCGTCTTCGGCCTCAGAACTCCCGGACAGCGATCGCCATGGCGAGAACTGGTCGGAGACGTTGCGGGGCAAGGACACCTTCTGGGGGGAGGAGAGGCGCGCACCGCGGAATCCCGCGTTCCGAAGCTGCAGTCGTCGAGCTTGGAGACTGAACGGCTTTTCAGACCTCACTTGCGGCAGGGACGGTGGCGACGGAGGAGAATGGGGGTAGAAAGGAGGACTGCCTCGCGAGGATCTCCGCGGTTGACAGCTGTCATGGAAGATGAAGCTATTAGCTGACGTCGCGTCTGGAGAACCATGGCGGTCCATCTCCATAGCAGGGCCAGAGGTCGCCCTCTACCCCGTACGATTGGCCAATGGCTTGGTGAACGTCGTTTCGTTTCCTGAGTTAGGAGAGGAGCATTCCGTGGACCGAGCCGAGGAATGAAGACGGAAGATGGGCGGGGCTTGCACTGCAATCCCTGTAACAATTAATTAATGATTAATTACTCCGTACTTCAGGACGGGAGTTCTACAGACGGGACGGCGGACGACCTTCTCAAGCAAGAAATACTGGCCGATCCTGTTTGTTTTGTCCCCGCCGTTGCTATCCTGGAGATTGGGATCGTTGATGCTTTGCTAGCCCGCCCGGCGCTTGCTCCTACTGGCTGAGACGCGGCCGATCCACCGACGGTCACTCCTTCCGCCAAATGACGGGCGTGCCCCTGACTGGCACGTGATGGACCATCCCATCTATGCCGTTATTAGCATCAAATATTAACCTCGGCAAGTCATCCTGACAATCACTACTAAATAGTGGATGGAGTACGTTACAACGTTCAATTTACCCTTTTTTGGCTATGACATGACAGCTAGTCCAACGGGGCCACCAAATGAAGGCTAAAAAAAGCTCACGTCGATGCTCGTTGTTTCATACCCCCTGAACCATCATCATGACCTGATGCAGCTGTACGGAGTACAACTTGACTGTATACCGGTCCTAACTAGTGGAAATTAATCTCCGAGGTTTCCGTATATATTTGTCATGATAAAACAACGGCTGTATAGTTCGGCTCTTCCAAGGATCGTCAACGTGAACGTTGCTGTACTTAAGCATGCAAAATCATGAGAGTTTTCCTTCTCGTCTAAATCAGCAGAAGGTAAAACAAAGTTGTACAAGTTCATATCCAGTCATATCGGGAACGATATGTATGTATGTATGTATATAATTCTCCAACAGCTAGCTCACAGCGGCATAAAACGGCCGCGTCGACGATAGTTTCGCACTTCATCTTCCACGGCAGCGTACAGAATCCTGTCTGCGGCGCTCAGATTCCTCGGATCGAGCATCGATGACGACGAGGGTGCCCCGAGAAGCGGCTTCATGTCAGCTTGACAGATCATCCCTGGCTGTGGGAGCTCTCCAGTCTGGAAGTAGGCGCGGATGGCCTTGGCGACGCACAGAGAAGGCGCGGCTAATGTCGTGTGCTATGATGAACAGTATCTCTTAGTTTGGATTCCTCCTTCAATGAGGGAATGGTCACTGGAGAAGTGCATTACATACCCCTTCTGAGTCTTGTTGCAGGACAACAGATCCAGGAAAATTGGATGACATTTTGCGAGCGCTGGTTGTGTTGCTCTATCAGTTTTCTGCTTATTGAATTCAAGTACAGTTAATAATTCATTGCCATATGATACTCACCTGCGAAGCGGAGTCACCGGGTCGAGTGTATTGCTGACGAAAAGCAGCGGGTGAGAAGTATTCCTAGTAAATGGCCCTGTCATGTCACCTCGAGTCAGCCATAGTTTTGTCTATAATCGACTGTCACACCTGTAAATCTCCACTTCGCCCTGGCCTTCCATCCAACGCAGCTCAATCGCACATGCGCCCAATAGTCGCCCAGCATCTCGCTCTCTGCCTTGAGTGAATACCAATGCTGCTTGAACTCGTCCTGGTCGATTTTACCCAGGTTCTCTGAATCTGTGCAAAGGATCGCTCGCGTAGCGTACTCGTCATTCTCTCCCGGAATCGTGCACTCTCGTGAGTACGGGCCGGCGAGGAGGCATTCTGGCGACAAACAAGATGGCTCGCGGTTTCGCTGCTTGAAGTCTGCCATGGCGGACCCGTTGCCCTTGCTGAGGTCGCCCAGTAATTCTGCCAACAAGGGGAAAAAGTACAATGGCTGATACGTGGCGATTCGTACAAGGGTCATCACATCCGTCCACGTCACGACTTCTGGTCCCCGGGTCGCAGAGGCAGGGACAGGGACAGACGAGTTAAGGATACTGGAAAGGAGATCACGGACGCTTGTTTTGATGGAATCCGGCCCGCCAGAGTGGTGCAATCCGCAGCCATCGGGGCCTGCCGCATCGCAGTATATGGCGAAGCGATCGAAGATCGCATCAGCGTCCAAGATACTACTTGGCCCTTTGTTAAAGTAGTAACTGTCGAGGTCCACGACGCCGTCGAGCACGGCGCGTTCGACTCGATCGGGGTACATGGCGGCGAACGTAGCCCCCAGGACCGTTCCATATGACCGGCCCCAATACAGAAGCTTCTCCTTTCCCCGGTTCCATCGGGTTCTCCGAGCAAGAGATTGGTCTTTATCAAATCCTTTTTCCGCGTCATGTTCTCGTTGCTGGGCTATTCCTTGCTTTTCTCTCCACTCAGCATGTCGCTCAATGATCCCAATCATGTCCTGGACGACAGGAGCCGTATTCATATGCTCTCCGAGTGCTTCTTGTCCATCAATTTTGGCGATGATCTGCTCTGAACATCCATCTGCAAGGGCTTTGTTTCGTTGCCAATTTCGCATGAGAGAATCGTCTGAGCTTCCCAGCATCCCGTCCGTCTCCTGTTGCAGCTCCCAATTCCGTCTCGAGAACGTATTGGGAAAGCAGCTAAATCCGGGGGTGGTGTTATTGACGCCACGAGGATCGAAGCCTATGATATCGAAATACTTTGGAAGGTTGGGGGAGTTTTCGTCAAACGCCGCCTCGGGGTCAACCTCTGAGTCTGCAATCGTCTGCAAATTTCGTCCAGACACCAGAAGCTGGGCGACTCCGGAGCCACCTGGGCCACCTGGAAGGTGATAATTAGCTACTCTTCACAGTAATGAGTCGACCTTATATATTCGCTACCGGGATTGATTAATATAGCTCCTCCATAACGAGGATCTGTAACTGGGACCTTCGCAGGAAGTTTTGCAAGAGCGATAGCAAAGGTACGACCTTTTCCGTCGGTGCGCTTGTAGTCCATTGGTACCTCCAGACGCGCGCATTGTAGACCATCAAAGCAGTCATGATATCGAAGCTCCCTGGAAGGGGATATCTGTATTTGTGAGCAACACGTATATTCTGGACACCGGTAACTGCGAAGCATTCTTACATGCGACCATTGGAACTGACTCTTTTCGTCTATTCCAGAATTCCAAGTCTCGGCCTGTCCACTTCGACCGCCTTGTGTAGCAAAAGGGAAACGGGCGAGAGGTGATAACAAAAATCCCGCCGTAACCACAACCAGAAGAAGCAGTTTTCTAACTACCGCATCCCATGGTTTTTTGCCATCGAAGGCATTCTGCTGGTATGTTCCCCTGAAAGTACAGCGATCCTTAACAGAAGGCATAGCAGTGTGGTCCATAATTCTTCGATGGCATCAATGCCTCAACAGACCCTTGGTCCGGTTCAAAGTATGGATGTAACAATGCACGGCGCAATGGGAGAGAGCAAAAAGATCAGATAAGTGCGCGATAACAGCCACGGCCCCACAGCACCCCGCATGCATAGATTGATAAGGCCGATATCGAGACAAACAGTTTAATCCTGTCTATAAGCAAGCATAATTAATATAAATTAGCATGGTGCTTATTGCACAGATCAGATGAAGTCATAGTCCAAGTTTGTCTATTTATTCCTTCCTTTATTACGACAGTCGACCAATATCTCTCTCTCAGGTCGCAGCTCCAGGACAACAACCGAACAAACGCCGTAATTGACTTTTCTCAGTGTCAATTGCTACAGGTCGCAAACATTTCATATCGTCAACAGCCATGTTACGTTATATCTACACCACGTGCTCAGCTGATATCAGTTCGTCCGGGGCGGGCGCCCACTCGTCCTCGAACCTATTCGCTGAAGCCACAAATCTCACCCTCGAGCAGGTCGACAACCTAGATTGATGTGATAGAGAAGAGTTCAAACCGTTCGGAGGACAACATTAAGCAAATTGCGGCTGTGGCTATAAAATATCCTGTATGATCGATCGGTCGATCAATTGATGCTTGGGCAAGTATATCGCCTATCCAAACAATTAATGCTAAACATAGCACAGCCTGCAGTATTAAGAAAAATAAAGCCTTTTTATAAAATTGAAATCATAATTGTAATTAGCAAGTGACTAGTTCTTAATATAGGTAATAGTGAAGGCAAGACAGAACTTTCTCATTCCATGGAAATTTTCATTCGTATACATACACACTAAACCACTAAACCACACGCATGATTTATTTTTTTTAAAAAAAAATTCTCGTTTCATTACAATCGATTCTTATATTCTAACTTTTTTTCCCTTAAATTATAGCATTCAACAATTAAATAAAAGGGGTGGTTTGTTTATTTCTTATACTGTAGTGAACGTCACGTGATCAATCTCGATAAAGCTCCACAACCAACCCGAGTTCGTGAGATAAGGAGGCCGTAGCGGGAATTTATTTTTCTCCAACCGTCGAAAAAAAAATAAGCATCACTGTGTGAACTGCCAACCTGCGAAGAGGATTACAGGACAAACAATTGCATCAAGCAAACAGATTACTTGTTACTTGTTACTTTTTTTTTCACAAACGACCATGACGCAAGGCGCAATCAAAAAACCATCCAAGAAATCCACCTCCTCCTCCTCTTCTCAGCACGGTCCAAAGCGAGGTGCTCGAGTGATCGCTCCAAAGAAAGCGACCCTGATCAAGAAGCACAAGATGAATAAGGTAAAGCTTACCCAAAAAAAGGAAGGAGGGTAATGGATTGATTGACTGACTGACTGGTTAACAAGAAACTCTCCGCCGGCCTAATCGAAAAGACGGAACGCACCCTCGCCGAACGAGCAGGACACCTTGAGATGCTCGCCAACGAGAGGAAGGAGAAGCAAAAAGGAGAAATTGAGGAAATGGGAGCGAGAGCATCAGAAGAAGAAGAGTGGGGCGTGATCTGTTCATTCATTGATTGGTTGGAAATAAGAGAATGAAAGGGGAAAAAAAAAGAGTTACGATAAGCAGAAGAGAACTGAGGGGGAAAGAGAGAGAGAGTGTGTGTGTGTGTGTGTGCATGATGCGATGTGGTGTGGTATGGCAGCTATCTTGACCGACCGGTCCTGTCCTGTCCTGTCTCCCATCCCATCCCGTTTGCCCCGTTCCTGGGAGATGTACCCCTAGTACGGGGTACCGTGTACGGAGGGCTAGTCCGGTGGAAAAGACACATACGGCGTGAAGGGACTTCTTCCGTCCACCGGCTGTTCGACTAGGTTCAATGACCGATCTCTCGATTGGTTAGAATGCTGGCTGGCATGTTGACTCTCAACGTCCATACCGGGGCATCTCCCACGAGTCGGTCCTGCGCAGCCCAAGATTATGCCATTCTCCAGCCAGGGAATGTATCAGGACACTCCATGGCGTGGTCTGAGGCCGGCATCAGGTCGAGTCCTTGCCGCCGAGACGGTACTGTTCTTGTGGATGAGTCGAGGAAGAAACAGGAAGGACACTAAAGAGTGATGGAAAAACGGCTTGTGGAGTGCTCATCTTGGCTACACAATCCAACCAATATTTAAGGATACCCATAATTCAACTTTTTTTTCTATCAAGCCAGAGAGTTCATTGACTCAATATCATTTGTTACCATTTTTTATCTGCACTAATGTATCCCCATAGAAAAGAAATCTATATGAACATGATCCAACCCGACACAAACCACTCAATATAAACAAAAAGTAGGGGAGGGGAAAAAAAAAGTGCCTCTATATCCAGCTAGGAGTTGAATCAATCATCAGTCATTAATTTATACAGAGCTTTTGATATTTTTATGTGCGCCTAAAATCCGATCGATCATTGTCATGGGTATCTCAAACACCAAGCCTCCCCGAAAGACGAAGAGAAAAAAAAATTAAGACAAGATAGAAAAACTTAAGCAGTATCACTTCACCGGGAAGCTTAGTTCAAATCTTGGAAATCCGGCTGGACACGAGATGGGGAACCCCGGCTTGTTCGATCAGGTCTCGTCCCCGGTCCATCCACTTCTGGAATCCCTCTTCCGTGGCATCCAAGGGGAAATCGTCCCAGACCGGCTGCTCCGCATCCGCATACGTCGACCACACGCCTTTCGGGACATCCGACGAAGACCACGAAGGAAGTTTCCCTAGGACGCTTGTGTAGTACACGTAGAGGATCCGGCACAGGAGATCGACCCGGTCCACGTAGTGTTGCTGGCTTGGGTCAGGCTCTACACCACCGTCTCCAAGCCGCCGCCACCATGAAACCCGCCACCGAAGAGATAGAAGGATGTGGCCCAGCTCGTTGAGGAATCGGAGGTGCGCCTCCAGAGAGATCCGCTTCCACTTGATGTTGTAGAAATCGCGTTCCAGTTTCCGGAAGCCTTCCACCTCCAACATCCGACAGAATATACGCGACAACTGAGCAGCCAGGAGAATGTCCTTCCGGTCCTCGGGATTATTCACGTCCATCGGACGGTCCTGGCCACTTCCGTCTAAAGACACAAAGCTGTATGAGGCACGACTCGGCATCTTGTTCCACCGTGAGAGCAGAGCCTGGAGGATAGAAATTAGTCTCACACGTCATCTAGGCCAAACACCGATGGGAAAGACTAACATAGACATTGTTCATAGGATCGCAATCTTTCACGCAACTAAGCCAATGCTTCGATTTGTCTTTCGACTCGATGATCCGGTGGTCAATGAAATCCAGAAAAGTAGACTGCAGATTGTCATTGCATTCACTGAGATTCTTCAGGAACTTATAACTCTCTGCTAGGTCAAGGACGTAAAGAGATCCCCACGCCTGGCTCGCACGGATGTTGAACCGCCCGCGCCGTTCGTTAAGGTACGTAAGCAGATCGTTCAAATTAAAAGCAGAGGGAATCTCCATTCTGACTCTGCCAGATCCATTCAGTGTCGCATGGTTAATGGCTCGTTGAGCTGGGGACGTGTCAGCAGGCCTGCAGCATGCCAGGAGAGGTCGCAAGGTCCACATACAGATATAATTGCACGTGCCGTACTCGACAATACTGGCAAAACATGCCCGTGCACATGGTTGCTCATGTAGTGTCGGACGGCAGGGATCGCAGGGGGTATTTCCATCACACTAACGTTCCCAAGTCAGCTTGATGGGAAAGCCCAGTTGGGGAAAGATGCTTTCAAAACATACCTTCCGTTTGTTCAGACGACACTGCACACAGGTGTCCTTATTCTTCCTCCTCAGACCTGCATTTGCTCTTCCGATCGTGGATAGAGGCCCCTTGCGGCGCGCTCCACGAGGTGGAGATACAAAGTCTTCTGAGGAGATCGACCCTCCAAGTCCATCCTCCTGGACGATCTGGAGTGGCTTTGGTTGATTGATCTGCTCAACATTCATCACAGATTCTCTCTGCTTTCTCTTCCGGGCAGCCGAAGCCGGCTGGAGCGCCAGCGGAATATGACGTGCTCCCCCATGAGAAACGGCCGTAGTAGTCACACTTCCTGGATTTGACGGGAAACTCGTCTGCGGTATATCGGACGAGCCCTGACTAACCATGAAGGCGCTTATCTTGGGAAAGACCGGTGACGTCTCCGATGAAGCGTCATCCGGAGAGGAGTCTTTCCACTCCAAAGCCTGTGAGTTTTCTTCCTTCACTTGATGGTCCGCAAAAGCGCCAATGCTGTCGTTGGTAACCGAATACGAACTCTGGAGCACACCAGAGACATCTTCTGGTAATGATGGACTTTGCGTCTCATTCTGAGGCTCTGATTTCACTTGCTGGGATTCGTCGTAGGCTCCGGGGCCCTTAGAGACCGGGGGGAACGAGGTTGTCAGACTTGGGGCCACGGGCATTTCAAGCCCTGTGAACCATTGCTGATCAACAGCTGCGCTAGACACTGGCATCTCAACATCCTTGTTCTCGGACTGTGGTTCCAACGGAGGTGAAATCGGGAACTGCGAGGGAACGAATGATGTGGTATTGTTGAGTGAACCTTGCCATGCCTCGCTCCCGTACTGAACAGGCTGAGACAATTGTTGAAATGATGCCATCTGATGAGACTGAAGATCCGAAAATCCTCCTCGAGAGCCTAGCTCCCCACCATCATCGACGATAATAGTGCCGGTGGTGCCAGCAGTGTCTTTCGCATAGGGATAGAGAACAGGGGCATCCAATGGCATCCCAAAAGCCATGGGATGCGAAAACGGGAATTGAGGCCATGCATTGTCGGGTTGAGAGGATTCGTCGCCGGAGGATGGGTGGGTTCTGGGACTGAACGTGCCCCCAAGGAAGCTGACTCTGTCGTGCAGTCCGCCGGTGGTGCTGCGAAGTCAAAAACCGCCATCAGCATTCACCCCCCTGTGAATGGAGAGGAAGGGAAAAGGAACCTAAAGTCAATAGTGTGAACGTCGCCCCCCGCGGAGTCGAGCAGAGGGCCCTCGAAACTATCGCGACTCGGCGGGCCTTGTGCACCGGCTAGGTCGACAAATTCAGCGTCACCCTCGTTGGAGTCGTGACAGGCTTCCAGGTCGGGTGGATGTTCCAAATCGTGCTTTTGCCAGGATAGAACCGAAAAGCTACTGTCGTCCGATTGCCATCTATCGAGGATCTTGGGGTCGATGCCCGTCGCGGTATCGGTGCTCCCGCAGTCCATCAGAGGCGTCCGCCGCAGGTGCAGAGAAAGTCGCGACCGTCGCAGCGGGTCAGGACTCGACACAGTTGCACGGCTGGTTCGTCTTTTCCGTCACAGATCACTGAGGGGCTTCAAAGGACAAGGGAAAGTCTCTCATCGAGATCGTGTCAGTATATGAGAAGGATTATGACGAGGGCGGGGGGGGGGGGGGGGGGGGG